TAATACTCCTGTGAGCACAGCAGTGCAGGCATCTTGTTGAGTCCCTGTTTTCAATGATTCTATGTGTAAACCTGGAAGTGAAATCACTGGCTCAGATGCTAAGTGCTCACTGAATTTCTGAGGAACTTCTGTGCTGTTTGCTGGAACAATAGCACCATTTGTGGATGTTTGTAAGTCTTTTCTGGGGGGATGCCCATTCAGTTCCTTTGCTCGTTTTAAAAATTGTGTTGTTAGTTTTGCTGTTGAATTGTGGGAATTATTTTTAAATGCTGGATATTAATCTTTTGGTACTTATGGCTTCCAAATATTTCCTCCAATTCTTTGAGTATTTCTTCTGTGACAATTTCACATGCGTGCATCACACATTTTGATCATACTCACCCCCACTGCCCCTTCTATCTTCTCCTCACTGAGCCCCTTCTTTCTAACACGTTCCCTTCCTGTTTCCATGCCTTTCTGTGGATGTTCCCTGCTTCGTTTAGTTAGGGTAACCTACAGGAACATGGGTAGGGATTATTTTCCAGAGCGCAAGCACCTCCACAGTGGCTTCCCACTGATGAAAGGTAGTTCCCTCTGAAGTCACCTTTTAATTCTCTTGGAAAGTGTCCTTACTGGTGTGCAACAGCTTTGAATTTTGACATAGAATCTTTCTCTTCTGATTTCCTTTTCCTTTTACTGTTTTTATTTTTCTTGTTCAGGGACAAGAAATGATTCCAAATTCAGAGGCATTATTTCCCCCTGTTTTCTGCTATTAGTTTTTATAGTTTTAGTTCTTAAATTTAGGTCTTTGAGGAGCATTTAGCAGTAACATTTATGCATGATATTAGATAAAAAATCAATTTCTTTTGCAGAAATTCTATTTCTCCACCACTATTTGCCAAAAGCCTAGCGTCTTCCAACCAAGGACTCTTTCCGTGATGTTCCAAAGCTGCTGGTTACTGTTTCAAAGGTTAAACAAATACTGATTAAGTTGTGCATCACTTAAGGTAGATTTTGACCCCTTACGAGTTGAACAGTACTGGAGATCTAAGATCATTGACATTCCTCAGGAAGGGCAAAATAACTTAAGCCTCCTTGGAAAGCCCGGAAAGTTAAAGACTATTCTGCCGATCAAAGTACAGCCTCCTCCGGTTTGCCGCTCTCAAATCCCCAGACTCAGTTGGCTGGAGTGGTCTCCCTCTTGCCTGGCGAGCTGGGAGGCTGGTGAGGATCATGTCCTCACATTTTCTCTGGGTTTTTGCTACTTTTTTGATGATAGCCAAATTACATGGCGCAACCGGACAACTTGATCCAAAGCAACAGAAAAGGATTGCTGATCTCCACCAGTAAGTAGACACGTGGCTCATTTCTGCTAATGGACTCGGGTATGTCTGTCTGTCACAAGTAACCAGAGAAGCAGAGTGCAGTGTTTCTTGCGGAAAGCAGTGATGGTGGAAAGCAAACAGGGAGGAGAGTAGGCTGATATAGGAATTGTTTCTTATTCACAATTGTTCTCTGCCCACTTGCGAACGAGTCACATCTGCAGTTCCTGGGAATGATCATTAAGAAATTCTCAGAGATCGAACAATAGACAGACAGAGGAGATTTGGCTGGGTGGAATGCAAGGTGAAGCTATAGAAAGTTTATTGCTATTTAGCCAGAAACTGGTTTAAAATTTAAAACTAGATGTGCTAATTACTGATAAATTCTCTCGTTGAATTATATAGGCCTCGGATGACTACAGAGGGGGGAAACTTAGTGTTTCTTACAAGCTCTACTCAAAACATTGAATTTAGAACTGGATCGCTGGGAAAAGTCAAATTAAACAATGAAGACCTTGGTGAATGTATACATCAGGTAACACACTGGAAAGATGCAGATGTTGCTCTGTGTGTCCATCTGCTGTAACTTAGTTGTCCAGCTCAGGATTGGTTGGCACCTTGAGTCCTGAGTATAAGGAACACAACTGGAAGGAAGATAAGTTCTTAGAAAGAAATCATATGAAGGCTTCATGGTGGGGAGACAGGGATCAATTTCAGAAGAGGAGGCTCACTGTGCAGGGGTGCAGGGTTGGGCTCCACAGTCCAGAGCAGATCCAGAAAGCAAAACCCCAACTCCTCCACTGGGGAGAGAGATAAGGAGAGGACCAGACATTTTCTGCAGCACCTTTGCCACGGCAGAGGGATCACTCACTCTCATGCAGTGTTGAATGTTTCCAGTTCTCAGTATTGATGACAGCATGCTGTGTGTCAGTCATAAGGTTGGAGCCATTTTTCAAAGCTGTGTCTGGGTCACACACTGGTTATCGTTTGACTCTCAGGGCTTTCCCATGAAGGTGTTCATTATTACTCCACTTATGAGCTACAAGAGTGATTAAACCAACTTTTAATATCAAAAATGCACAATAAATGATTGGGGCAAGATTTAAAATTCAAAAAGTCTCATTCAAAACCATACATTGTTGTGGTATTGGGGACTGAACCCAGGATCTTTATGCACTAGGCAAGTCCTCTATCATTGAGTTACATCCCAGCCCATCGTGCTTCTTAATAATAAGCACCCTAAAATATTAGTATATCATGGGAATGCATATAGAAAAAGCATTGGTGTGTTGCTATAGAAGAGAGTTGATGGGATTGTGCCATGCCTATTTTGGCACAATATTATTATTGTTATTATTATTATTATTATTCTATGTGGCATTTCTCTGGTACTTATAACAGACAAGGCTTTAATGCTTGCTCCTGTAAGATGGAAATGTTCTTTCCCTACTGTTATTCATCTCCGTGTTCTCCATTTCTTTTAAAAATCAGATACAGAGAAACAAAGATGACATCATAGACTTAAAGAGGAATGCAACTGGTCTTCCTCAAAATATACTTAGTCAAGTCCATCAACTTAACTCCAAGGTAAGGCTAGCACACGCATCGCACACACTGTAAGAGCAAATGAGATCTTGTTAATCCGACTTTTTAAGTAATGCACTTTTCAGGTGATGTATTGACTCCATCCTATCTTTAGATGTATGCATTATAATTGTGAACTTTGGGGTTAAGTGGCATAAATGTAACTGAAAGGTAAAGGGTGGTGGCCGGCAGAAGGCAGGGACTTGTTGCAAGGCTTGGCTTTGCTGGTGTCCTGATAGCATCTTCTTTACCGATGGAGGGGGTTATCACTGCCATTTGTGCCACAATCACCACATAAAGGAAACAGTGAGTCAGCTTATCAGGCCTTTAAAAGTTTACATGGGGGGTGCGGGGACGGAGAGAATAGGATGGAAAGGAACCCGAGAAGGGAGGGAAACAAGGAGGGGGAAAGTGATGAGTGAAAACCAGAACAAAATGGCGTCCCAAGGGAGAAGCACAGCGAAGGTCAACACCACATGTGAGGTGTCTGAGCTAACTGACGCGTTCTCTTCTACAGCTCGTGGATCTTGAGAGAAATTTTCAGAGTTTGCAGCAGGTAAGTCCTGTGACTCGACATTCGCTGAAAATACGTAAACACCATTTCTAAGGTAGGAATGGCTGTTACTCCACTGCAACCCTAGTGCTCAGGAGATTGAACAGGAAGATTGAGAGTTTGAACCCAGCTTGTGGTATATAGTGAATTATAAACCAGCTTGGGATACATAGTGTGACCTTGCCTAAAAAAGAAAATTTAAACAAACAAAACAAATAAGTAACAAGCCGATAGTCTTAAGGGATAGATGGTCAATATCAAAGACTTGATTTTCCATTGATTCCTGTTCCAACTTATGTCCCCTAAGAGTTCCCTGTCCTCAGGCCCCTCCCCTAATGGCTCTCCATTAGTCATGCTGCTGTGGCCTTACGTGTATACTCTTAGACAGCTAGGGATCTCCCAGCTGTCATCAATAACTGGGATTCAAAAAGCCACACAGCCTCTTCACATTGAGCTGTGAATTCTGGGGGGTGTGCACAATGTTCTTAGTTTCCTTAAAACAAGCTGGTAATTCAGCTTGAAGCACTTCCCAGAGCAAACACCCTCCAACCTTGCCATGTATATGCAGTTTGCCTTCCTCGTGGGTAAATGACTAAGGCTTCTGTTGAAACCATAACCTTCTTCCCCCAAAATGTGTAGAACCTATTAGTACCTACAATTCCACATGACATTTTTTTGCAAGTTTCAATTAATAGTATCAGCTCTAATTGTCACAATTTATTTCCACGGCGATTCAAGCATTGTCTCCTACTTCGGGAGTTAAGTTTGATGAACAGGTTCATGCTCCCTTTTTATCCCTGACAATGGATTGCCCTCAGCCTTGTCTCTTCAGGGAATAGCTGTGCACAGTTGAGGGAGCAGGAAACAGAGTGTTGTGGAGCAAAGCAGCATGGGGGTTTTCTAACTTCTACAGTGCTTCCCAGATTCACTACTGGTCAAGAATCGAAGATTATGATCAAAATGAGTTTCTGCTGTCCCCTCCCCCGCCACTCAGGACGAGTTTTTAGCGATTTCAAGTGTCAGTTGTTTCCTGCTTTTGGATAGGACAAGGACTCCATGGTCAGCACAGTTGCTCTCCATTGTCTTCCTCCTGTTAGCTGATTTCCCTTCCCGCTAGCCACCCCCCCCCCAGTCTCTGGCATTTTAATCCCTGGATAGCATTGCTTTTGTTCGCCAGAAGACTCCTAAATTTGTGGCAAATGTTCTTAATAATGTCCTTTGATCCTTTAATGAACACAACTCATTGTGGTTCTGGAACAAAGACTAATCAAATGAGGGAAGAAAGCAGAGTTCATAATGAGACACACATGTAGTCCTGTGAGTCAGGACCACGGCAGAGAAAGAAAGGGCCGTGTAGGAAAGAGTGCTGGGCCAGCTGCTGACCTAGCTCTGAAATTACCCACAGACCCAAGTCGGTTTTCTCTGAACCTTTGGCTATACATGTATATGGATATAATGAACACTCTGACCCTGTTTCAAATGGAATTTTACTAAAGCCAATATAGTAAATTGCCCTGATTGCATCATTACTTGCCCTCTATGAAGCAGCTGCCTCTGCACCCCCAAGTCTTCACAAACTGTACAGCATTGAAAGTGGTAGCCGGCGAAGGGTGAGATCCCCTTGTGGGATCTACCTCTATGCGGACAAAGGTAGGCTTGTTTGCTGTGCTGGTCTAAAAGCAGTCAGGTGAGCGGAGGGCGGCAGGTGTATCTTAGCTGGCCACATTTCAAACAAAGGGGCTTGGAGAGAAAAGAGTTCAGTCATCTGAGCCAATGGCAGGAGGGGTGGTAATAAAAGATGATCAGTTTTCAAAGGCTTATCTAGAGGTGCCTGAGATAAGACCACTAGGCAAAAGGATGGAAATTTCCATTTCATTTTCTTAGTGCAATAGGAACATCCATTTCGATGTCCACACTTGAAAGCTTTATTCTTATGTAGCAGCATGCATTTTTTTCAGATGAATGATGCTTCTAAGGAACAGGGAGTCATCTCTCCATCCATGTCTAAAGTATGTTGTAGTGTTAGGGAAAATGAGCATGACTGATATTTTGACAGGAGAAATGACTTGAAGGGGAATGTGAGTCATTAGAGGAAGTCTGGAGGAAGCCCTGACCCCAACTGCAGCCTGCCCTGCAGTGTGTGCTGAGGACAAGTACCTTTCTCTCACTGACTTTGTTGCCCTGTTGTTTTTCAGAATGTCGAGAGGAAGGTTTGCAGTAGTAATCCCTGCCTCAATGGTGGCACCTGCGTCAACCTGCACAACTCCTTTTTCTGTGTCTGCCCTCCGCAGTGGGAGGTGAGTCACATTGTCTTTGACTTAAAAGTCAAAGACCTGCGGGCAGGTGAGTCAGCAGCGGTGTCTTTGTCCTCATTCAGACAGATCTAATTATCCACCAGTTTCTGAGATTCTGTGAACTCAGGGGTCAGAATGACTTGTGCCAAGTGGAGGTAAAGTTGACTATTTAACCCACTGAGTCCCGGGCCATCTAGAGCAGCTCTCTCAAATGGGTAGGTAAAAGGTAAGGCATGGTAGGGCTGTTAGCACGGACTTTAGCAATTCAGCACTGGAGAGCATGGACTCGGTCTTGGAGTACATATGGAATCACTCTTGACCCCTTTTGGCAGTAGTGAGGTCACTGCTAGCAGACATCAACACAAAGATCACCAAGTAGCTGTCCCAGGACTCTTCTATGGAAGAAGTCTCCTTGTGTGGCCACTGTGCTCTTGTGAGGAGCTCCTTCGTTCCACGAGGCGCAGTCTGAGCTCTAGAGCACTCTTAGCCCAAGTTTAATATTAGTAATGTTGTTATTTGGCTTTACCAAGGAGTTACCACCCACATATAAGTCATTAACATAGTATGTAAATATTATCTCATAAAAGCCCATGTCCTCTGGCACCTGACTGAGTTCTTTACATCTCTGCAGGGTCTTTTCTGCTCAGATGATGTTAACGAGTGTGTGATTTACTCGGGAACACCCTTTGGCTGCCAGAGTGGATCCACCTGTGTGAATACAATGGGGAGTTTCAGGTAACTTTTTTGAAAATATTATCATGTATTTCTGAAGGAGAACACCAAACGATAAAAGTATCAAAATTAATATCTATAGTACCAGAAAAACTAGGGGCCCCATAGGAATTACTTGACTTCTATTGAACATATCCATAGATATTTTTGCTCAAATCAATAAGAACCTTTCACTCCATGAAGAAATCATTTTGGCAGCATCTCTGAGGAAAAAGGTGACTGCCACAGAGCAGTCACCAGAGCATGGTGCAAGCTGAACTGATGCCTGAGCAAGAAACAGAGCCATAAAGACTCACTCTAGGTTAATAAACTCCACTCATGCAAACTTCTGCTAGACATATTTATAAATTCAATTATTGCAAAGCCCACAAGGACCTCTACCTTAAGTCTAATACTATGTGATCTGAGTTACCATAGGGCACCATGAGCTAAGGCATTTACAAAAGCCATGGCTTTGAAGCGACAACCAGTGAACTCATTTAAGGCCTTTGCTGTTTGGACTTTGGATCTAACTGAAAGATGCTGATGTCGCTGCTGTCATTCACCTGCTGGCTCCAGCTGATTCCCTTGAGAGCATCAGTTCATGGTTTCTGTTTATGGGCGTCTATCAAGCAGAAATTCACTTGGCGATATCAGTGACAACAGTCACAACTTGACTCCTAGCACATAGAATTGCTTGCCTCCCCAATATCCAGTAATGCCCTGGAGATTAGATAGGATTCCAATCCCCCTTTATCATCACTGTCCTTTGGTGTATTCTGTGCCAGTAGAGTGAAGACTGCATGGGTGGAACAGGGGCCATACACACAAGCCATTGCTATTGCTTTTCAGAGCATTCATTTTTACTTCTACCCCTGTAAAAGTGGAAAGGGGCCTGGGAGCCTGTAGCCTACACAATCCAGAACTCTCCATTGCATGTCAAGGATGAGACACACACAAGGGAAGGTGAAAGGAAGAGGGAGAGAATGAGAGAGTGAGAGACGGGGGAAGGAGAAAGGGAGACGAATAGTTGATTTGTTGAGAGCAGTTTCTCATTGGTAGTGTCCCTTTGCAAGGCAATATTAGACTTCTTCTTGTTCCCAGTGCAAAGGAAAGCACGGGAACTTCTTGTGACTCTGGGCTGTTTATTGTCTCTAGTCTCTACCCCTCATGGCTTTGTTGGGGAGCATCAGAGAGCAGAACATTTAACTATGCCCTCTTCTTGGTATGATAATAGTCTATGAGGCCTTGAGGATCCCACTGGGGCACGAGTATCTTAAGCACCCGAATTCAGGTGTATCCCACAATGTGTGTATGTGTGTGTGTGTTTTCCTGTGTGAGTATGCATACATGACTGTTAACAAACGAGCATCCATGTATATGGAAGCCAGAGAACAACCTCAGATGTCTCTCCTCAGATGCCATCTACCTAGTTTTTTTTTTTCTGTAAGGTTTATTATTATTTCATTTTATGTGCCTGGGTGCTTTGTCTATATGTACGTCTGTGCACCACCATGCATACCTGGTGCCCACAGAGGCCTAAGAGGAATTTTCTCCCTGAATTTGGAGTTACAGATGATTGTGAACTGCCTTATGGATGCTGGGAATCAGACCCAGGTACTCTGGAAGATCAGCAAGTGCTCTTAACTGCCTGCCCGTCTCTCTAGCCCCTCATCTTTTTTTTTTTTTTGAGGCAGGGTCTCTCATTGTTTTGGAAAAATGCCATGTAGATTAGGCCAGCTGTCCATCAAGACTCAGGGATCTCATGGCCCAAACCAAGATTGTAAGCACAAGCCACTGTGCCTACACCTTTTTAAACCAAGATTGTAAGCACAAGCCACTGTGCCTACACCTTTTTAAAAAATTGATTCTGAGCATGACATTGTGCTTACAAGACAAGTCACTGGCTAAGCCATTATCCTTGAGTAACAACTTGAAGGGATAAATTAGGGTACATAATGCTCATGCGTGCAAAATCTAGTTATTACTTTGTCAATTCGTATGTAATAAAACAATGAACGCTTACCCATTTTTTGAATTTTGCTAATTATGTGAGGTTAAAATGCTTAATAGTCAGTAATTCACTGAGGTCAGACGCCCTTTTGGGAAACCGCTGCACGGGTTTGATAAGGAAATCACGAGCCGCCGTTGAATGACCTGGATCTGCCGTGTGTGGGTGTGGTGGGCAGAGCCGGCTCCAGGGTGAGGCCAATTCAAGTTAAAAACTCCGTGGGTCAGTTTAGTTGGGGGAAATAGGATTCTTAACACTTAATCTTAACAAGGTCAGTAATGCATAATTAAAAATACCTTTGAGAAGAGGAGACATACGCAAGTACTGATGAGATGGGGGTCCCCGTTTCTTAGGCAATTTTGGGCGGGGTAAAAATTCTTCCTTAGAGCGGTGAGAGTAGGATAAGGTAAAACTATTGGCTTGCACTAATTCTTGTGCCTATGAGAGCTAATAGAAAGATGGTTTTTCTTTTGTTCATGTTACTGTTTCATCTTTATTGTAAACGTTGCTTCTGATTGTTTCCTGACTTGCTTTATATGTAACACAGCTCTTGGGGTCTGACATGGTGACATTGGTAGATGATGTATGTACTTAGCGTAGTAGCGCTACTATGCTTTCTAGGAAGAAAAGATGCTGTGTTTGTTCCCCAGGCACATGAAGCTGATTCGGCATATCTTATTTTATCTCCATATCATTAGTAGATTGTAAAGCATAATCCTGTTAGTTAAGTATTAAACTTATTATCTCTTTCAGTTACTTAGTATACTGATATTGAGCCATGGTCTCTAAAACAAGATATCTAAGACTATGGAAGGATAATTGGTATCTTCTCAATTGACTGGAAAGCCTAATTTTAGTCTGCTAGAATGAAGCCAACAATAAAAGGCTTTTGCAAGAACTAGTATGACACAGTTAGACATAGTTGCTGGGGGGGGTGATGACCTAATAGGATCCCTGGATCCTATGATAAAAGAAAACGGAGTCCTGATTTCAACACACACACTGTGATATGCACATACCCACACTCAAACCCACACATCATATACACACATACACACACAATAAATAAAATTTAAAAGAAAATTTTATCAAAGGCAGGAATATCAGTATGGTGGTTTTAAAACACATATGGCTTTTATTATTACTTCACAGGTATTTATATGATGATTTACCCTTTTCCTTCAAAAGTCATACTGGGTCACTTTGAAAACATACTTTACATGCAAATGCTGTTATATTAAAAAGACACAGTTGTAAATTCTTCATACTTACTTACTTTACCCATGAGAACAGAAATGTGACATGGAAAAATAATGGAGCTAGAGTAAAATGGATTTGAGTTTTGATTTGGCTTCTCTCAGATATTAGCTCTGGGGCTATAGGCAATGCATATCTGTAAAAAATAAGATTAAAGTATTTGCCTTTGAAAATCATGACAAGGAAGCCTGAAGTAGTTTACTTGGTTTAGTTTCTCCTCCTCGTCCTCCTCCTCTTATTATCTAAATTTAAATGAAAGAAGTCTACCGTGTATCTGGTTAAAAAGAGTCTAAGATTGGTGTATACACATCTCCAAGTGATTATAGTTAGGCAGAAGGCAGTGGGAACTAAGGAGAGAGGGTTGCCCTCGGGTACATGGCCACAATCTGCTCTGCCATCTTAAGTAATTTTCCAGTGATTAGGCCCTTAGCTGTAAGAGAAGCATACTACAGAATACTTGCTAGAGAGGAATGCTTTTAGAAGGGTCTTGAGTTAGTAGTAGGCAGAGGTGAACAGGAATATGTTTGTTCATGATTTTAATCCGAACTTAGTCCCTGGTGTTCCCAAACATTCAGATATTCCTTATATGGAAAATACAGTTAGAAAAACTTGTAATGATTGGTTCTGATATTTTTTTTACATGTCAAATGTATGGTTAAAACAGAAAAATATTTAGCAATGAATCAAATGCTTACATATGTATAAGAAATGCTCAGTGTTTCATGGAGCTACAGCAATAAATTCTTTTAATCTCAACTCATCGAACAGTACTTTCAAAGGTCAGATGTCTGTAAACCACGGGTGACATTGAGTGGTAATTCTCTGAGTTGATTTGCAAAGATAACATGTTCACTCAATGCTCTGCTTGGAGAACTGGAGAATTTTACTTGAAGGCTGCAGCTGACCAAGCTGCAGTTCTGGCTTATCATTAACAGTATCGGTTTGCAATGTGGATATTTCTTACTGATGCTAATAGACAGCTGATGGTAATAAAAACACAAACGCTGACACTGTGCTCTTGTATAACCAACAGATGTGACTGCACGCCTGATACATATGGACCCCAGTGTGCATCCAAATACAATGACTGTGAACAGGGCTCTAAGCAGCTCTGTGGGCATGGTATCTGCGAGGACTTAGAGCGAGTGCAACATGGACAGGTGTGTCCTTTCCCTCAGTGCTCCTTGTGGAAGCTATGGTCTTTCCACATCCTGTTGGTGACTCTGTACCAGCACGGGGCTGGGAGTGACCATACAGGTGAAGTCACTTCCATCCCTTCATAGGACATACACAGGCAAGGAGGGAGATGTCATATCCAGAAAAGAGGACTCAGAAAATAGAAAATAAGTCTGTCATGTAAAATATGAAGCTCCTTATTATTCCTTCACAAGTCCGTGAGGCCTGACACCTGACCTGTGGGTCTAACAGTGACAAGGAACGCAAACATTACGGGTTATCTTGTCAACAAGGCCACAACAATCCAGATGTCTGCAAACCATGGGTGACATTGGTGATTCTCTATGAGTTGATTTGCAGAGATAACATGTTCACTCAGTGCTCTGCTGGGAAAACTGGAGAACTGTATTGCTCTGGCCTTGAGTCCCTCCTCCCTCCATGAGTGGTGCAGACTTTATGGGTCTACATCTCTAGTGTCTCTCTCTGCTCTGGGTCCTGTATGTCTAGTGCTCAGGGTAGCCTGATCAGTTTTGCTTTTCATAAGAATTTTAGTTATTTATTCTTAACTAATTTTAAAATTTGTTATATGATAAAAAGAAGTTCCTTCTAGCAGTAGGGCAGTAGTGAAGGAATGAAGGAAGGGGTAGGGGAAAGAGAAGAACTTTTCAAAAAGGAAATGATTGTCTCAAGTCTGTGCCTACTTGGTGTTTATCCCTTTAAAAACGTAGCCAACTGAGTTCATTGACTTTAATTATAGCTCTTGATTATTGTTGCTCTCTCCTGGGCATCTTTGGGATAAATTATAGGATCCTCTGAAATAAAGATGTTCCCTTCTCCATGGTCTAGTCTAAATGCTTAAATCACATGGGAAAGAAAAGAACTCATTCAACTTGCCCGATGGAAATGTTAGTCAATAAACAGTTTGGGGTTTGGTGAGGTTCTCCATTCTTCCTGGTTGTTTACTTACTTTACTGTTTTCCTGCCAGGCACGGTTTAGCTGCATTTGTGAGGCTGGGTGGACAACGGCACCAAATGGCATCGCCTGCACAGAGGACAAAGATGAATGCAGCCTCCAACCTTCACCTTGTGCAGACCATGTGCAGTGTTTCAACACCCAAGGCTCTTTCTATTGTGGGGCCTGCCCAAAAGGTACATTGTTGTGGACATATCCTAGGCTCTGAATGCCACACAGATACAGTACCAGAATCAATTTCCCTCTACTAATGATGGATAAGAGGATCCTTATTTAGAAGTGTCTAAACCTAGCTACATGTCTTACACAAGATCATCTCACTGCTAGAGCAGGTCCCTGGTGGAGCTGTCAGGTGTGTCAAAGTGTTAACATCCTACCTTGGGGCACAACTAGACATAGAATTTGAAGGGTCTAATCTTGCATTGTGGTGGCTGTCAGCTGGATAGACCAGTGGTTAAAAGTCATGCACTATAACCCCACTTCTCCTACTGACTAGCTATCTGTAAATTTGGCTAAATTCCTTGACTATTTTGTGTCTCTCCTATAAATCAGAGTTCTTGCTTTTGTGTGTCCTTGAATATTCTATACCCTTGCTATAAATAGAGGTAGTCAGTTTTCTCAGACTTAAGGACTGAGTCTTTAAGGGAAGTCATTGTGTTAAGTTGCTGAAGAATCTGAGCCTGATACTCAGAGATGGCCCAAAGTTTGAATCCCAAGGTTCCTCTCTTATGACACAAGATCACCAATACCACTTGGCACAGATTTGTAGGGCATGCGTCATGAACAAAGCACTGTACTGGGATGTGGATTAGCAGTGACCCAGACTTCAGGGAGCTTATAGGACCACTTTCTACTTCTGGCTAGACTTAGAGAGTGGCTCATGGATGGAAGATCATAACAATAGCTATTTTCCCATGCAAATGCCATTAAAACGTCTAAGTATAGGCAAGTGTTACAATTCTACAGCTACAACAAATGCCAAGTCATGACAAGAGGACTGTTTACATTTTATATACGAGGAGTTGAGGCTTGGAGAGATTAAATAACTTCTCCAAGTACACAAAGCTTGCAGTAGGACAGATCCAAATCCAGGTCTGCCTGATCCTCGATGTGAGCTGAGCTGTAGCACATTCTGTTGCTGGCACACCAAGGCATGTGCGTACCTAGTGCTTTCAGTTAGAGATCTGTAGTTCAGTGAGTGCCTGCAGGTGCTGGGTTAGAACTAGCAAAGCTAAGGAGAAGGAAGAACCCCCCTCCTGTCTCTCGGGGGGGGGGAAACTTGCAAATAGTTGAATTCTCAAAGGTAATTTATGATGGCAATCTTTGAGTGATGGAAATCAGAAAAACAGATGGTTGAAATTAAAGAACAGGCAGTATGTGCTTAATTCTTCTTTTCCTTATTTGAAGAAAAAAACTAGACACAGAAACTTATTAGAAAGAAATTGAAAGAAAAGTTTTTGCTTTCAATCACTACATTTTCCCCAAGTTTTTTTCTATATGCTGCTTTTAAATGGAAGGAACGAGAAGAATACTTGTATAAAAGGGGAGCAAGGTACCATGTCTTGAAGATCATCATTAGGAGCAGAGTGCATTTCCATCAGCTAACCTATCCATGCTCAGACACGATAATTTCCTTGTCAGTATATGAAGGGATGACACACTTAGATTCACCATTATAAGTATGTTAAAGATTTGAAGAGGTTTAAATATGATATTCAGATAATGAATCATGAGAGTAATACTAATGTTATTATGATTGACCACAACACAAATATCTAAAGATGACTCCCTCCTGACCTTCGTCTCATCCTCCGTTTCCTTCGTTTGTAGAAACATAGGCACAGTTTTAAGCAATTCATAGTTTTATTAATATCCAATCAATAGTCTACAAGTGGACCCCATTTACCCATCACCTTGCCAAAATTAGATTATATACATTTAGAAAAATTTTTGGACAACCTTTTAGGAATCTCTCATTTTAATCTATAATTTTGTGCAGAACAAAATTTTCTTCATTAATTTTTATTACTCTTTAAATATTTAAATATTAATTAATTAACTTGTGTTTGGGGTATATTCCATAACATTCCTATTGAGGTCAGAGGGCAAACTGGAGTTAGTTCTCTCCTTCTATCATGTGGGTCCCAGAAGATAGCCTTAGTGGTAAGCATCTTTAACTACTGAGCCATGTTGCCAACCCAGAACTATTTTGTGAATATCTTAACTATCTGTATTTCTTCCTTGTTAACAGTGCTAATGTTGCAAATCTTCTCAATATTTTTTCTAGGCTGGCAAGGAAATGGTTATGAATGCCACGATATCAATGAATGTGAGGTAAACAATGGAGGCTGCTCTGTGGCTCCGTTTGTCCCCTGTCAGAACACGCCTGGATCTTTCGCCTGTGGGAACTGCCCACCAGGTACTGCACCAGGCTTCCTGATGCCACCCCTGCCAATACACTTCAAACAGAATCTGTGCTCACTTTAGAATGATTTCTAAGGAAAGGGAAGGAAAGGTCCAGAATGTTTAACTCAAGGTGTAGATTCAGCATGCAATAGTACAGCAAAGCAAGAAAGGAATAGAAAAATGTCAGCAGCGACAACAGTGAGAAAATACAGGATGGGGGAAATGCTTCTGTGAGAATCTTTTGATCCAGCACTCCAGTGTTACCATACATATGTATTTATTTAATACATGCACTTGCGGACTGCTCACAGACTAGGCTTGCAGCATTCATACATGTTAGTTTCCTTATCTTGCGGAAAGAGGTCATTCCGACTATCCCGTAGTTTAAGTAGAACTAATCTGCAAGAAGTTCTTGACATTGTTTCTCGGCTTCTGTGGGCTTTGTTCAGGTTTCAGCGGTGATGGAAAAGAGTGCAAACCCTTGGACATCTGCTTGATCAATAATGGAGGCTGCCACCCACAGGCACTCTGCACCTCAGCTCTTGGTATAGGTAATTACTCTCCCCTCTTTGTCCTTGGATATTTTAGTCAAATCCTCTCAACAATTCAATATTCTAAAAATAAGGGTTTTTTCTCCTTGAAATACCTTTGAGGCAGATAAAAGTCTCACTCTGTAACCCAGCTGACCTTGAACTCATATAATCCTCCTGCCTCAGCCTCGCAAGTGCTGGTGTTATAGGCATGAACTACCATTTACAACTGTCAAAATTCTGATTTTGACCTTCCATCAAGAATCCAAACCATCTCAAAACCCTATACATGTTGAAATGAGAACAGTCTGGTAGCTTTGAATGATTTATTTTGACTAGAAGTCGTTTCCCGTGATAATTAATCCAAATAATCAATTGATTTGTAAACAGGATGGAGAAAGGGAAAACATTCTTTTATGACTCTTATTTCTGTGCCATTGGCTGAAATTTGCCATCTGGCTACACCTGACAGCAGAGAAAATATAGCACGTATTTCAAGTATCATGGATCCAGCTAAAAGAAGGAGTTTACTTCTAGGAAAGGGAAAGTGAATCTTAATGTATCGTTTCTGCATGAAATAGGGCAAGCCCATCTGTACAGCAACACACCTGTCTGAGAATTGTATCATTGTATGTCCCAGCCAACAGCTGGTGGAATGTTTATGTACCCCAGCTCTGACAATCACAGCTGTCATTTTTTGTCTTGATACATTTTATAGCCAAGAGTTAATTGTTCTTTTCTTTTTATGTTGGTTTGAGACAGGGTTTCTCTGTGTGTATCCCTGGTTGTGCTAGAACTCACTCTGTAGACCAAGCTGGACTCAAACTCACAGAGATCCCCCTGCCTTTGCCTCCTAAGTACAGAGACTAAAGGTGTGTGCCACTACTACCTAGCTTATTGCTTGTTTCTTTTAAAATGTGCTTTTGTGTGACTAGTGAATAATACTGTTCACATTTTATTAATCACCTTTTCTATCTGCTCATTTGCTTCCTTATTAATTTGCAATTTTCATTTGTACTGAGGAAATCATCTCCACAGTACTTTTTTCATATCATGTTGTTATACTTTTGCACTGGTATTTTCTATTTCAAGGCTTAATAATTACAAAGAATAAATCCTCTTCTATTAAATAATATGTAACATTCCCTGATTTTTCAAATTTCCATTTTTATTTTTACTAATGCATATTTAATGTGCATATATGGATAAATATATATATATATTATATGTACACATGTTTTATATCATCTTTATCTTTTATCTCATTCATGTCATAATTATTAGTGGTACTGAAAGATTCAATCATTTTAATTTTTGACCAACTTCTTCCTTTGACTGTTTATATTGACATTGCTTGAGTTTTCTAACATGGAAGCAAAGAGCTTAGAAAAACTGTTGAAGAAACATTGGTGTTTGAATTTTATTACTATATTATTTTAATCTGTAGTTTCACTGAAAAAATCCTTTGAATGCCTTAAATTCATTTTTCAATGAAATAGTACGTAGGTATAGTCTGCATATGCATGTGCCTAGAACATGAAAGCTGCCCATTGCATGCTAACTCTGTGCTATAACTGGGGCCACATCCTTAAAGTTTCTCTTGACTCTTACAATCACAATGTGTATCCCTGGCCAGGACAATCTGCAAATGCTGTATTTTTGTCTGTGAAAATATAATTTTTTTTTTTGGTTTTTACGAGACAGGGTTTCTCTGTATTGTTTTGGAGGCTGTTGGTCCAGCCTGGCCTCGAACTCACAGAGATCCGCCTGCCTCTGCCTCCCAAGTGCTGGGATTAAAGGCGTGCGCCACCACCGCCCGGCGAAAATATAAATATTTATAGTAGTATCTGCTTATAGGGTTGTCTAGAGGATCAAGCGATCTTTCTATAAGTGTCGACACATACATATGTATATTACTTGCCACAGATACTGTTGCCATAAAACTCGTATTTTCTACTAATCTGATGAAGAAAACCCATCTTCCTTTTCACCTTCCTTTCTTATCTGTATGTAGCTCTAGATCATCTGTCATATGAGATGATAGCATGATTGCAAACATACATATAAGAAATTAGAAACATGGTGGAGTGCTTTAAGGTAAGATGGGGAAACAAAGATTTTCATCTTTTTTCCTCTTTATCTTGCCTGCCCATAGGAATAGATGCATTTGACCTTGATGGGTTCTTGTCTAGACACCAGAGTTGAGTTTCATGACAGTCTCTGAAACAAGGATCCCTACACTTACACATCCATTTTTATTTCTGGACAGGGTCTTTGCCAATCTGCACTTGTCCTCAGGGATATACAGGAAATGGTTTCGGGCCAAATGGATGTGTACCCTTCAGTAACATTTGCTCAAGTCACCCGTGTGTACATGGACAGTGCACAGTGAGTCTTGCTCCTCCTGGGGAGATTAAAACTTGGAAATAATCACTATTTAATTTGTATGATTCATAAGTTTAAAGATTATGATTCAAACTTTATGCTAAGGTCTCTCATTCACAGGTTACAGATAGGTAGTAACCAGTAAGCTGATTTTTTAAAGATTTATTTATTTGTGTGTGTGTGTGTGTGTATGTGTGTATGTGTGCCCTTGTATGGACTAGTGTGCATCACATGCATGTAGGTGTCTGCAGAGGCAAGAAGGTGTCATGTTTCCTAGACCTAGAACTAGAGGCAGTTGTGAGCTGCCTGGTATGGGTACTGGGAATTGAATCCCCGCCCTCTACAAAAGCACTAAGCCTTTATAACTTTGAGCTATATCTTCAGCCGTGACGTATTTTTTTTATCAGTGATTTTTAGAATATTAAGCAAACTCTATATTTTATGGGAACAAATATGACTAATTATACTTAGTAATTAATGAATTTCTCAACTGGAGAATATATGCTATAGTTTAATTCTTGTTAAATATACACCTTATGCTGTTGTTACTTTCCATGATTTGTGCTGGTTCTGTTATACAGTCTGCCCATTTGTTTTATAGTATGATGCATTTATTTTCTCCTTAGGACACATTATCTGGTTATTTCTGTAAGTGTGACTCAGGCTGGTCTGGAACCAACTGCACAGAAAACATTAATGAGTGTGTGAGCAACCCCTGTTTGAATGGAGGCACCTGTATCGATGGTATCAATGGCTTCACTTGTGACTGCACAAACTTCTGGACTGGGTATTACTGTCAAACACCCCAGAGAGGTATGGAAGACATCCCATCAACCGCAGATACTCTCAGCTTAGGGACCTTGTCTTCCAATAAGCCTGTTGCATATTTGCAAATGTAACCTGACTTCTTACCAGTTTAGGTGTTAAGACATAGATTTCTCCTTGCAGAGATAGCATAGAATTCACAAAGTAGAAATTTATAAACCTCGTTTTAAACAAGAAACATTTTCTTCAAAAATATTGTTAGTATTTTTCATGTTTGTTATATTCTTTCAGAATGTACCATTTACTTGGGACCTTCCCTTTTTGGTTTTCCTAGAGGGCCACTTCATGCATAGCAGGCATCTAATGTTCACAGAATACCCTTCGGCCTTATTTATCATTCTCCTATTTGCTGATGCCTTGGTTCTTCATCATCTCTTTAATCAAGGTTTAGCTTATTTTTCATTAATCTTCCATGAACATCCTTTATCCTATCCATATCACCATGTTTTTCTCTAGTTCCCTAGAAATTCTCTCATTCAAGCCAGGCAATTTTCTTTTGCTACTTAACTCCATGGACCACATGAGAATTACCACTTTTATTTGGGCTATTTCCCCTCATGAACTCCACAAATCCTTCCTTTATTTCCCATCCAGATGCATCTATTACTTCGACAGCACACTCAGGCTCCTCTAACTACTCCACCCTCTCTCTTCTTAATCCTGCGCTGGAATCAGTGCATTTACTGGGGTCTTACTGCATGTTTAAGGCAATGATAAAATATCGAAGCATAAAACATCGTCTCCTCCTCCTATCTCCTCACTGTATAGTCAGGGAGCTAAGTCTGCCATGGAACAGCAGGAAGGGGGCATGAGATGGCAGAACTAATTCTGTGATTGAATCACAGGGTAAAGTCTAGTTCATCAAGGTTTGGAGAATGGCAGCCAAAGAAAATAAAGGAGCCGAGTGAAGTTTGTAGACAAGGTGATGGGTATGAAATGGGCTGTGGATACAAAGCAGGGTGTGGCTTGATGTAAACTGAAAGGGATCAGAGAAGAGGAAATTTCAGAGTGGGAGATGCCTGGCCTCTTCCTTTTGAGAATCTATGAAAAGCATAGTTTATCTTTGTTTTTGTTTGTTTGTTTGTTTGTTTTCAGCTTGTGGAGGGATCCTCTCAGGGACACAAGGAAGCTTTGCCTACCAGAGCCCTAATGATACATATGTTCATGATATTAACTGTTTCTGGGTTGTCAGGACTGATGAGGAAAAGGTAAACGTAATCATTGTTGTCCATAACCAGATTTCATTTGTATGTCTAAAAATTCGATACATGAGGCATATATAATCATGTGTATATATACATATAGATTATTTATGATGATAATTCATATTGAATATTTGGTGAGTGCTAGACTTTGGGCTAGACACTTTGTTCATCTTTCTCTAACTTCATACATATTATTTTGAATAATCTTTATTTTACAATTGAAATAATAGAATATAAGAAGTTTTGTCATTTTTTAAATAGTACCTAGTTTATAAGAAGAATAGAAAAATATTCAAGTCAAGTTTGGTTCTAGAGTCCATTGTGGTTTTTTGTTTGTTTACCTCTGGTAAGGAAGGATTCCCAACATTGGGGGATCTAGCTTTTAGCCAGTAGTTAATCTGTAATACCATGCTTTCACTACAAAAGTAGTATTTGAAGATGACCACAGACCTCAGTGGACTATCATGAAATGGTGGCAATTGGTATTAAGATGATTCCTTAGGAAGCATTTGCTCTGTGCTTGATACCATGTGTCCCTTATACATCAGTGTACTTTAAACTCTAAAGCTAGGAATTATTAACCCATTTTATACATGCATAAAGGGGGTCTAGAGCTTTTGAGACATTTGTCTAATATGTGGGTTTTTAAATAACATACTTTTTTTAAAAAAAGAAACAGCCTCAGGCCATCTGATTCCAAAGTTCATGACTCTGAGCCCCTTCATGAACACTTCTGAACCCATGATTTCTATTTTCATCGTTCCTCAATACTCAGATTTCCAAAGTATTTCTTTTCAAGTAATTCTTAGACTTAAAGTGGTATGCCTTAATACATAAGATACTCTCTTGAAATACCATTCAATTTCCCCAGCAAAATAATGCTATAGAGAACATTGTGTGAGGGTCAGAAAATATTATTTTCCCTTAAGGAAGGACAGCCAGTTGTAGCTTGGTCATTACACAATAGAATAAATTCCAGAAAAGTTTCCCACTGGGTATGTTGTGTGAATTTCCTTCCTTCCATTTAGTTCTAGTGAATTCCATTTCCTGACATTGAAAATATATTTTTCCAAGGAAAAGATTTTATGTGAAAAAATTTATATGTATATTACCTTTTTAAGAAAATTTATTCCATTTTTCATGATATAATTTTATATATTCTTTTTATACATTTTCTATATTGTTTATATATAATAGAATAGAAAATATAAGCAACTAATTAATATTTATTTGATTTCCATTTAAATTGCTTCGAGTTAGAAAATAATATAATTAGAGGAAACATTAAAATTTCTAACATAGAATTTTCAAAACATCTAGAAATTATTTATCCTAGCTGAATACTAGTGTGATTTTAGATTCTGGTGAAAATTAAATCATAGCAGCCTTCTTTTATGTTAAATAGGGCTATCAATTTAAGATCTTCATGATATTCAAGATGTGCACTTGATGGCCCCATTCTACATTTGTGCTTAGTACTTTAAGCATTACCCTTGTCCTGCTTTCTTCTCTGGGCTGTTTGCATTTTGATGGTGTCCAGCCCCTGAAGGCCTTCCCCTGGCCCACTTACCCCACCCACACTGGAGTCTTAGCTAGGCTGAAAACCCTGTGGCATCAATGTGGCATGGGGGTAAACACATTCCACAGGTTCAGGGTAAATTCTCAGGAATGTAAATCTCAGACATTTGGACTGAAGGTATTTTTTTTTCAAATGACCATTTTTTTTTTTATTTAGAAACACTCCTGGCCATACACTTGATAGATTAGTCAGTTTGATCTATATTTATTTCATTAAGAGTTTTTTAAGTTGACTCGCAGTGTTAGTACATTTTTTGTGTGTGTGTGTGTAACACAATATGATCATGGTCATTTGATGATGCATGCAATATATAATGAATCGATTAGGGTAAGTAGCATTTCCATCTCCCCAGGGACTCTTTCATATTTCTATATGAATTAAAATTTGGTTTGAGTGATTTTAAAGTCAACCCTGTACATGTAGACTTGCTGCACACGTTGAGACTTGCACCACTAGGGCTCGGTGGTTCTACCTATCTCTTTATGCTTGCTTGGAACAATCAATTTGGCATTAACGTGGAAACGCTTTTATGCTCTTCCAGATTGTGCATATCACTTTCACGTTTTTTGACTTGGAATCGTCAAGTAACTGTCCCCGAGAGTTTCTTCAGATCCACGACGGAGACTCCTCAGCAGCTTTCCCACTCGGGAGATACTGTGGCTCCAAGCCCCCACAGGGGGTCCACAGCAGTGGCAACGCTCTCTATTTTCATCTCTTCTCTGAATACTTAAGGCGTGGGAGAGGCTTTGCAGCGAGGTGGGAGGCGAAGCAGCCCGGTGAGTGTGACCTGAGAAGGACGCAAAACAAACTTTCAGAATACTGTGGCGTTTGGGGGACCTAGAAATAATGCAACATTTCAGATAACCAGTTTAAGAACTAATAATGTTAGAATGAATTTGATTTTGAATTTAAGAACAGAAAAATTGGTATGTGTCACAAAGTTTAAAATGCATGAGTAGTAATGAGGGCCTTATTAAATTACAGGACAGAGTTTTGTGAGTTGTTTTAGTACATTTTATATTTGTATTAATTGTTTCAGAACTTAATACAATTTACCTTTAATGTATTTACTTCCTCTCATCCCCCTAATTTCTCTCAGGTCCACCGTTACCTTGCTCACTTCGTGTCACTTTCTTTTCTTTTCTTAAAAAAGTAATTCACCAAGTCCAGTTTGTGTTCCTGTACACTCCTAGAGGTGGAGCCGTCACTGGGGCTGTTGGAGTGACGGTCACCAAAAACCATCAAATCTGTGTTTCCTTTTACGACGCAGACTTTATATCCATTCAGAATGTGATTGGTTGCTCCATAACTGGTTCATCCTGCTTTGGCACCCATGAACTTACCGTGTTGTACTTACTGCAGTTTACAGGGTTCACAGATGAATCCCACCCCCCCAGTAGCCTGCATAGAACCTTCTAGAATTGTGAAATCTAGCCAACAGGGAGGAAACTTCCTCGATTTCTCCATGTCCTATGACGAAAGGATGTGCTGTCTTCATCAATAGGCTCTCACCACCAATCAGAAATACATTTTTATAACATCTACTAGTAAATTTACTACAAGAATGTCACTGGGGACATTGTCTGTTCATTTCTGTAATAGTCCTTATTTAAATGACCACTTGATAATTATTTTTCATTGTTCTTAGGTATTTGTTTGTTTTGTCCCTGTTTTGTTGTTGTTGTTTGCTTTTCTTTTCTGACATAGAGTCTCACTGTTTGGTTCCAGCAAGTCTGGAACTCACTTCATGGAGCAGGATGGCCCTGACCTCATGATCCTCCTGCCTCTGTCCTCCAAGTGATGGAGCTGAAAGTTTGTGCCACTAGACCCAGCTGTTCTTATATTATACTCAGTTGGGACTCGCCTTTTATAAGCTTTTATCTGGTAAGGTTTCATAGATTTCAGTTAAAGTTCAAAGATTCTTTTCTATTTTTCATGTACCATCATGTCATCTGTGAGGAAGAATATTGTTAATCTTTAGTATTTTTTGAACTTGTACATATTTACTTATTGCCTTGGCTAAAACCTGTAATATGGTGCTAAGATAAAGTAGGGAGTAGAGTATTTTGTCTTTTTCCTGACTACATAGGGTAAACATTGAGTATTTTTTTCATTGAACACAATGTTAAATGTAAATTTTTGTAGGTAACTTTTTATCAAACCAAGGGTATTTTCTCCTATTCCAATTTCTATATAGCATATGACTGAAAAGTTCAGGGTTATGGAATCTTAATTCGTTTATTTTGTGGGCCTGAATTTTGGAAAGGAGTCAGCCGATTCTGTAGTTCTTAGAAGGTCCAAGTGGTCTACTCAGTCAAAATGGGTCACTTGACCTTGATAAATTGAGCTCTTGTCTGAAATGTGAGACACTGGGTTTGAGCCCCAGCACTAAGGAAAACAGCCTTTGTCATATGGACAACAATATTTTCTTTTAGATGACAGTTGTATCAGACTGTTGCCCCTCTAATAAGTGTTCTTTTATGTCTATTGTCATCTCTCAGAGAAAGCCCTACAACAAAGCCAGGCAGGTGCTGACAGCTGTAGCCAATTCTTTAAAGTCACATTGTATTACTTCTGCCACTTTAGTGTGTTGAATCCATCTCAAACCTACTTACATTGAAGGTGAACTTTACTCTCTCCCACATTTAGAAAGCTTAACTTACTGTTGCTTTTATAATTTTCCTGAGATCGTGGCTTACAAGGTTTGGAAAGTGGTTTCTGGGAGGTGGAGGAAATTGATCCTCAGAGTAGGCTGGCTAGCTAGATGAACCAAACTGACAGACTCTAGGTTCAAGGGAGAAGGCTTGCCTCGATGTGTAAGGTGGTGTGTGATGAGAAAAACACATGAAGTTGAGCCCCGACCTCCGCAAACACACACACAGGTGTACATCATGCACTCACACCCCACAAAAATGCATGTTGATGTATGCACTGAAGTGAAGAATTTTACTGTTTTATCTTTATCCATATGTTTTAATGTATATTTTTACAGTATTCAGTCTAAGATATTTTCCTATTTTTATTTTGGTTTCTCAGTGACTGCTAATTACCGGTGTGGTCACTTAGTAATGAAGCAGTATACCAAGTATTTGGAATTGCTTCATGGACTAATGTTTTTATTTTGGTATTTCCAATAAGGTGAGGAAAAAACTTGTATTTTGCAATATTTGGATATGACCATCTATATATGTTAGCTTAGTCAATTTGTTCAGTAGCTTTGTTCAAATATTTTATTTCTCCAGTGACTTAAGATGTTTGCTCTACTGATGTGAGAACTGTACTGAGATACCAAGCAGTGATTATAGAGCTCATTTATTTTGTTCTGACAACTTTGCTTAATACATTTTATTTGATTTTCCTTTTCTAGTTATTTCAAACATTTATTTTTTTCCTCTTCCTTCTGTGTGTAGTGAGAATGTCTAAGAACCGCTCTCTGAGTAAATATCAGTTATACCTTGTTGGGCTAAGTATCGCTACCATGATGAGCATTAGAGGTCCAGAGTTGAGGCTGCAGTGTAACTTACTGCTCTTGCTGCCTGGAGTACCCCTGACAAGGATCATTCTAGTTCCTGGGATTTTTTCTCTTGCTGTTGTTGGTGTTCCTTATCTTTTTTGGTCATCAACTCCACACCAGCCCTATACAATATGGATTATTGATGTTTTATCGCCCCTCCAGGCTCTCTCCTCAGCCTGTTGATTGCTTCTTTTGGTGTGCTGAAACATTTTATTGTGATGTATCAGGTTTTCCTACTAATTATAGACTTTTGTTGCCTGTGTGTTTTTGGAATCATGTCTAAAGTGATTATTCAGATCTATCATATGGATCTTTCCTTCTAGCTTAATAGTGGTTTTACAGGGTCAGTCCATATATTTAAGTCATTTACACCATTTTGAGTTTGTATTTCCATAAGGTATGAAATAATGATCAAGTTCAATTCTTCTGCAAGTGGAGAACCAGCTCAATCAACATTTATGACGCAGGTTATCCTTTCTCTATTGATTGCTCTTAGCACCTTTTTCTAAACTCAGTCAAGTAAGAAACAGATTTATTTTTGTGTTTTCTATTCTAATACATAGAACTAGATGTCTGTTTACATACTACTAATATAGCTTTGATTAGAGCTGCTTTGTATTTTTTTTATCAAGTGCTGTGATATCTCTAGCTTTGTTCTTACTCAGGATTGTTTTACTCACTTGGAGTCTTTGTAGTTTAAATGAATTACAAGACCAATTTTCTGTTTCTATGGAAAATAGCACTGGAAATCCGAAGGAGGTGACATTGACTTTGTAGATCACCTTGGGTCCTAGGCTGTTTTTAAAATAATACTAATTCTTCTAATTTTGAGTGTATATCTTTCCATTTATTTGTATTTTACTCAATTTCACTTAGCAGTATTTTGTAGTTTTCCGTCTATAGATATTTCCACATTTTTGGTTAAATTCCTCATGAGGTGAATCACTTTTTGATGCTATTTTGAATGGGATTTTTTTAAAAAAAACTTCTTATTTTGGATAATTTATTATTAATATATGCATTGTTAATGAATAACCTGTAGCCTTCCTGAATTAGTTCATTAGCTTATTTTATTGATTTATTTTTGGTGGAGCCTTTAGGGATTTTTTCTGTATGTAAAAATACATCTCTTGCAGGTAGAGAGAAATTTGCATTCTATATAGGGTTATTTCACTTCATCTTCAAGCATACCCTTAAATACATGGCACCAGTATTCATTGGACCAACAGTCAGTCACTTTTATGCTCTCACCCTAGAAGAATATTATCACACATAAGATTTTAAATTTCCTTTCTGCCAGCCTTTAAATCTGCCCTCTCATTGTCTCTGTCCTCCGTAGTTTCTCTCTGGAAAGTCTATTGTAATACTTAGGCTGCCATGTCGTGCCTTCTAATATCCCTGCTGCCTCTCAATATAGACAAGGCTATGAATGTACTTCACTACTTTCTTCTTTTTAAGTGTAATTTATTTTCTTCAGTGCTTTCTTATTCTTACATTCCTTTCCCCCTTTCAATCAGTTCTTCTTTTTTTAAAAGCTTGATTCATTTGTTTACTTTCTTTTGGAAATTTTTGGAATGTCTAGGTATACAAGGTCCTGTTTCTGCTCTGTCCATGTAATGTTAAAAATCACTTACCCTGTAAAGATGTTTCTGTTGCAGATAGCACATTTTAATTTTTCCTCTGGTATTTTGTTTTTTTCATTTACTGATATTCATATATCCTGATTACAATTTCTCCTCTACTCCTTTTAGTTCCTCCCCTTCCATCTAGGTCCACTCCCTCTCTATCTCTCACAAGAACACAAACAGGGAATATAATATGATATGATATGATGTGATGTGATGTGGTATGGTGTGATATGATGATATGATAAAACACAAACTAACCATCAAAAAATTAAAATTGTCTTCAACAAGACAAACCAATAGAAGGAAAAGAACCCAAGAGAAGGCACAAAATAGAGGGTCAGTAATCCCATAAAAACACTAACCTTGGAACCATAATATTTATGCAGAGGACCTGGTACAGATCCATGCAGGCGGACACTGTGCATGCTTCCTCAGTGTCTGTGAGCTCATATGCTCTTTCATAATGTTGACTTAGAGAGCCATGTTTTCTTAGTGTCCTCCGTCCTGTCTGACTCTTGGATTATTTCTGCCTTTCTTTCCACGGGGTTCTCTGAGCCCTGAGGGGAGGGATTTGATTGAGATACCCAATTTATGGCTGAACGTTCTAAGTTCTCTAACTCTCTGCTTAATGTCTCATTGTGGGTCTCTGTATTTGTTCCCATTGACTGCAGGAAAAAGCTTCTCTGATGATGGTTAATCTACGAGTACAGAAGAATGTCATTAGGAGTCATTTTATTGATGCTTTTTTTTCCATTTTTAAGGACAGTAGTACTTGGTTTTCCCCTAGGTCTCTGGTCCATCTATTCTCTGGTTCTTGGTCTCCCAAGCAGTGCTGGGTGTGGGTTGCATCTCACGTAGTGTACCTTAAGTGAAATCAGACGTTGGTTGGCTACTCCCACAAGCTTTGTGCTACCATTGTCCTAGCATATCTTGCAGTCAGGACACCATTGTAGAGCAAAGAGTTTGTGGCTGGCTTGGTGTTACATTTCTCTTTCTGTAACTTGCAGAGTACTTTCCCATATTAAAGATGCTAGAACAAGGAGGAAGAAGATCTATGTAGGCACCAGCTCAACTTCCCCATGTTCAGCTGGCTGTGTAGGCACTATCTTTAGAAATGGGGTCTTGCCATAATTTATGTAGAGCAACCTACAGCTTTGTTAACAGCCTGGGTTGATCAGGACTCCTTTGACCAACAACTCAATTAGATGTAATCCAATCCGATACTAGAAACTTCATTTGGTGACAAGACATGTCCAGTTTTGGCTTTGTCTCCTAAGTTATTTGATGATTTCATTTAGATCTCCTACACACACACACACACACACACACACACACACACACACACACACAAGCACACAGGCACGCGTTAGGAAACTTCTATTGTATCAGGTTTTTACACTACTCACTAATTGGTCCTTAATTTTAGCTGTCTCTCCTTGTATTCCATTCCTCATCTCCCTCTTCTCTTTAGTCTCCTGTCCCCTCCCTGCCCCTACTGTTGCAACAAATACCTTGTATATTGGCCTTATTCCAACTTTGTCACTGTGCCTTTGGGATTGTTCAGTCAAAAAGCATGCATAAGGTTTTGCTATTTTATGTGACAAACTTATTTGCAGTGGTCATTATATATTCTTATAATAATGTGAGATGGTGACTATTTCTTCATAGCCAGTCTAGTAATTTGCTTTTAAAAAGTCTGAACATTTATCACTTGAGAGTAAAGAACCCTTAGCTGAGTGGTAGCAGAGATCCTGGACAATTTCCTACATGTACAAGGGACACCGGAATCTTTTCAGTGTACTCTTTCTCCGTATTACTGCTCTTTTTTGAAATTTTCTACATTGTGGGTGATAAACTGTTATATATTACATCTACATTTGATCTTTAACATTTTACATTGATTATATTATTTTACAAATTAAAAAGTTTTATACTCATAATAGATTTTTTTCATAGTAAAGTTTGTTTATTTATGGTTGAATGAGCCCCAAATTATTTGTTTTTTTTTTAATTTTATTTTCCAGTTTAAATTTAGATAAGAAACAAGGTTGCTTCACAAGTCAGTTCCAGGTCCCTCTCCCATTCCCTCCCTTCCTCCCGTGCCCTCCCCCCCCCCCCCCCCGTTATCCCCTCATTTATAATAGATTTTTTAGTTAAGTTTTACAAAATGTACTTTCATCTGATCTTGGATGTTCCCTGTGAGGAGAAATGAAAACTGTGTAACTAATTCTTTCAGGTTTTGCTTTGGTAATAAAAGCTTGGTCTGAGTAGTGTGTATAGTTACATGAATATCTTATTTTATGTACTTAAAGCATCACCTTAGAGCTGGGCGTTGGTGGCACACGCCTTTAATCCCAGCACTTGGGAGGCAGAGGCAGGAGGATCTCTGTGAGTTCGAGACCAGCCTAGTCTACAAGAGCTAGTTCCAGGACAGCCTCCAAAGTCACAGAGAAACCCTGTCTCGAAAACCCAAAAAAAAATCACCTTAGTTCATTTCTTTCTTAAGGTATTTTTATCAAAGTCTAGATTAGTTGGTATTTCTACTTTTTGATTCTATAGTAACATTTCTTACTAGTCATCACAAATTCTTTATTGAATAAATGTGACTATTAAAGAGAAAGTTTTCTTTATAACATTTCCAGTCATTGACCATCACATAAGGAATTGGCATGGTGTGCTGGAGATGTTGCCAGGAAGCCCCATTCAGTGCCCTACTTGCTTTATTCCTGAGACAGTGACTTAATCACTCTGTACATTTAAATGTCTACATTTATAAAGTGAACAATGTATTTATTTTATAATTTATATATCATATACTTTATATATGATTTATATAAGACAATTTATTTTGTAATATATAACATACAAATTTAATTTGTTATCGTATATGAAAATACTTCTCAAAAGAAAATTATGTGTTCCTTAACTGTTTTGAAATATAAAGTGTTCTGGTTTGTTGAAGGGTATAGGGCTGACAGAAGTTCCAGAATTTTTAGAGTTAATATATAGAAACTAATCTTGTAGGATAAAGAACTGAATCTATATTCACATTATTTATGTTTCAGAAGACTCATCTCTGTGTTTTAAATCACATAACTATACAATGTTCTGTAGGTACAGAGTTCCTGCATGGATGACTTGTTTACTTATTAGTTTGTAGTAGTTTATAGCTCGAAGGACTGTGCAATTTATGAGGGCCTCTTAGCCTAATTTCTTCACAGTTATGTAAAAGATCTTGCCTTCTGACAGCAGAGTCTATGAGAATTTTGTGTGAATTTAGCCCACATGTGAACTTGGTCATTTTCCTTCTTATTTCAGAGTGTGGGGGCACACTGACTGGTGATTATGGATCTATTACATCTCCGGGGTATCCTGGAAACTACCCTCCAGGAAGAGATTGTGTCTGGAACATTATAGTCAGCCCTGGATCCTTGATAACATTTACCTTTGGAACCTTGAGCCTGGAGAACCACAATGACTGCAGTAAAGATTACTTAGAGGTAAAAAAAAAAAAAGGAAAAAAACCCTACATTTAGATAGGCCATGGTTTGATGTGATTAGTGTTCAGGACATGGGTTAAAGATGCCCATGGATGGCCCAAGTTTGTTACCAATACTTAGATAGCTGATGCTAAATCCTTAATCTCAATCAGGCTAGTTTGTTAGTCCATTTCTAGGTCTGTCTTGAGTGTGGAAGAAACTGCCTTGCCTTTCCCCATCCCTAACTAGAGATTCAGGCTCCTGGAGTGGGAATAAATCCTGAGCAATGACTGTCTCCTACAACAAAGATTCCAATTTTTAGTCATCCAGGGCAAACCCTTAGGTTGTCCTGCCACTTGATTTTAGTGGCCCATAACAATTCTGTGAGAAGGATTGTCTGTGTTAAATCTCACTGGAAAATGTTGCAAATCTCCCTTAAGAGGAGCAGAGTCAGCCTGCTTTATCCCACATAGAGGAGGAAAGGGCCTGTTACATTCACATTCCATACACAATTAGATCCATCAAAAACGTTGCTCTCCACTTGTAGACTGGAAAGGTCAGTAAGGAGATTGAGTTCTTAGGTGCTTCCTGTACTTTTGTCACTGTAAATTTTAGCACCCTACAGCACTGCTAAAGAGTCAGTGAGCCTTTCTTAGCCCATTAGAGAAGGATGGAGTGCTGTGGAATTATTCATCAAGGATGAAGGATGCAGCTGCCAAGCAGGTCTCCAAAGCTGAAGTCATTAGTCATTAGCAGTGGTAATAATGGATTTGAAACCTTTGGGGATGACTCAAAGATCAGCTTCTCCTTGGAAAGTCTTAGCAAAATATCCTTTTAGAAGTTGGCAGTAAAAAGTGAGTTATTGTGAAATTAATATTCAATAAATTCTATCAAATTAAGATTAAAGTCTTTTTATTCTTACATATTAATTCCTGAACACCACATTATAGAAAGTATCAATCATCCAGACAATATTGAACTCCCTCTCATTCCTCATCAGTCTTTCAAGGAACTAGTTACAAGTAAAAAAAAATGAAGTAGCATTGCCCTATAAATTTTCTGTCAATGGAAAAATTAATTTGAGTAAATGAAATTGACCATATGAAAATATTCTTCAATTCACTCACTCCTTGGTGTTCTATATAGCATAGACTTTTGTAAATGTGTTAGAATTATTGAGCAGTCAATGTGATTTTATTCGATGCATAAAAAAGCCAACAAGGGTTTATAAGGAATGAAGATTACACAAGACCCCCCAGGTTTGAACCTCAGACCTGCTAAAATAAATGGAGAGTGAGGGGGAGAGGATAGGAGAGGAGAGGAGAGGAGAGGAGAGGAGAGGAGAGGAGAGGAGAGGAGAGGAGAGGAGAGGAGAGGAGAGGAGAGGAGAGGAGAGGAGAGGAGAGGAGAGGAGGAAACCATTGAATTGAGGTTACATTGGGGATGTAACCACTTTAGAATCCGGGTAGATGAAATGGTTCAGCTGGTTAAAGCACTTGTCCAGTAAGCCTGAGAACCTGAGTTTGATTACCAGATCTGACAATGGAAGGGGAGAACTATTTCATGATTGTTGTCCTCTGACCTCCATAAGAATGCTATGGCCCACAATACACATGCATGCTTATAGATACACACACATACCTCCATGAACACACACACACACAAAGTGTGTATACATTCATCTATACCTATAACTCACACAGACACTTTCACAAGCACCAAATTGACACACTTGATGAGAACATAGGAAAAGAGTTTACACAGATGGCATACAGTGTGCTACCGTATACAGTGCTGAATGACCATCTCAGCTGCGCTTCTAAAGCTATGTCTATCCTCTCCCTCCTGCATCTCTTCACAGCTTCATACTCACCCAAGTGACACAGCAGTTCACATCACTACTATTCAATCTCCTATTTCCTTTGAAATACTCATTTTCTTCTTCTAAATTACTAGGATTTCTTAATTTAGGGGACAGGGAACCATGAAAGAAAACACTAATTTTACATAATCATTTAAAAATCCAAAGCATGCATTCTGCTCCAGAGTTGAAATTCCAGCCGTAGATGAGGCATTTGACAGGACCGTGAAGACACATTCTTTACTGAACACTGTGTGTGAGTTATGCATATGACAGGGAAACTTCCTAAATGATAGATTTTGCTAATCCAGTACTTTAGATTTCTCTGTCTTGCTGCAATACCTAAATGACAGATTTTTCTGAAGCTTATGTCCCAAGAATTTTGGTTAGTGAGAACCTGACTGCTTCCAACATAATGGCTTATTCTTTTGTTTTAGATTCGAGACGGGCCTTTCCAGCAAGACCCCGTTCTCGGGAAATTCTGCACTTCTCTGTCTACCCCACCGCTCCAGACTACAGGCCCTGCTGCCAGAATTCATTTCCATTCTGATGCTGACATTACTGACAAAGGTTTCCACATCACCTATCTAACCACACCCTGTAAGTATCCTGCCCACACAGACTGACTGTACACTGGAAGTGTGGTGCTATGGTCACGGCAGCTTGCTGTGGTGATGCCTAAGATGAAGGCTTTCTTAGATTAGCGACATGCCTTCGTGAGTATGTCTCATACCACTTTAGACTCATTCTTCATCTCCACAATGTTAAGTACTATAGTACTCCTTAACCCTTCAATAATGGGATCCATATTAAGGGATCCATAATTGTAACAAATTCAGAACTTCAGTTCCCTAGTAGCATTACTGTTTTTTGTTGCATGCATTATTGTTTATGAAAACGGTGCAGCCTGTTTGAGAAACATCTAGCTTCATTCTTGGTTCAAGTCCAGTGCCCAGAAACCAACTTCCAGGAAGCTGTTCCAGTTCCTAGAGTTTGCTTCCATATACCTAGCTATGATGCTTTCAGTTACATTCATACCTGGAACAAAGAACAAAAATGAAATTCTCTATGATCTTCTTTAGAGAATTTTGCTTTTAACTCATGGGGTAAACACCTTGTGTATCTCTGTATCAGGAAAGATAGTAAGGATTCACATTGGTCCCCTTTTCCCATTGCTTTGGCTTCAGGCTGAATGCACGGCTATATACACACATGCATATATAATCTTATAATGAGCGGCATGGACTTACGCATGGTGTACAAAGCAGGGTGGTTATTTAAATGTAGGCACGAACTATAAAAGTTTTGAAAACTGAATCTGATATATCAAGCCAGAGGAATATCATCCCAATGACCATTCCTTCCCTCCTTTGTTCTCCTCAGCGGATCTGCACTGTGGAGGAAACTACACAAGCACGGAGGGTGTGATTCTCCTTCCTCCCCTGACTGGACCTTTCAATCGCAACAGGCAGTGTGTATATCTCATCACACAGCCCGAAGGAGAGAAAATAGACATCAGCTTTACCCACGTGGAGCTGGAGAGCCCGTCGGGCTGTACTCACACTTACATCGAGGTAACCTTTCCACCCACTTCCCCTTGTGGGACACCCATTACAGCTTTCACATTCTGCAGAGTGGTGGTATAGATCACCAGAGGGCTTGTCAGAAATGGCTCTGAACCAGCACCTTGGGGCGTGGGAAACTGCCAGGTGAAGCGAGAGTTCAACAACAAGTATTGTAGGGCGTCTAAAAGAATCTGTCTAACACAAACCCAAAGAGGTGAAACAAGAGCTTGATAAGGGAGCCAGGGAAGCACTAAAAGGAGAGTTGAAACCAGAGACTCATAATAGTGCTAAGTTATAAGCTGTACAATGGAGCTCTAATCACCAAGACACATGCAAGTTAGTGAACATAACTAGATTTACTGATAGGATTTGAATTTCAGATAGATTTCCTAGAGCAATTTTATACAACAGACATCACAACATAGAGAGTCAGATATTAGCTCAGATTGCCCAGCCAGTCTTGACACAGACTTATGCTAACTCATTAAATCCTCACATCCTTCTGTTTTAATCTCCGTAATCCAAGGCTTAGAGAAGTTAAGTTATTTGCCCATAATTGCTTAGTGAGTAGCAGTTTGAATTTAGGAGTCACACTGGTCTCTTGCAAGAACAGACTTGTAATAGTGTGCCTTTAACCACAGGAGTAGCTTAGACTTCCCTAGAGTGGATGGCTCTGTGAGTCCCACACCCTACTCTCAAGTCTCAGGAGACTGTGTAGGTAGGCATGGTAGTTGTCCAAGACAAGCACAAACATCACTGTGACATGAAGGAACTCTGCAGAGTTTCTGTGTATTCCTGAAGAGGTTCTTCTGTTGGCTATAGGATCTGTCAGCACATCTGGAATGATAGACCCTCTGTGTCTTTGAGGAGCAATCTCTGTGAGTTTCTACCCATCTAGCAAACTCCGTTAAATTGTTGTGTGGGGGGGAATCACAAAACTGGCCCTTAACAACTTAATTTTGTAGAGCAGAGTGGCTGAATACATTGTAGTTAGAAAGGTACTGGGCTAAATGATCTAACTTATTACTTAGTTCTGTGGTTAGAGGTCAGGGTAACTTTGGGCAGTTCTTTGAGTACTTCAGTTCCTACTTCAGTAAGATGCCTCATCTATTTCTGTAACGTTTGTGATAATAAAACCAAGAAAAGAAATGAGAAAAAGCCCTAAAGGTTATTACAAAGTATTATAAAAATATAAGGTCTTCTAGACCAAATTTTCACTTTTGCCCCAATCTTATCAGTTCAGAATCAGCCAGTAAGACTCTTCCATGTCTAGCCATACAAGTGTTTACATTCTTATGTGTGCACAACCTCATAAGGTTTTGATGGAAATTATAAAAGAACACACAGGTATGCATACATGCATACACATGCATGCACACACAGACACACATCTCAACTAAAGTTTTTACTTCTAAAGACACAATTGCCCATGGTTAGTGTGACATGGTTACAAAAAGATGAGTTCAAAGGGAGATTAACTTTTGGGTAATTTGTTCTTGCCTAAGAGAGATTTTAAACTGTATAGAACAATACGATAGATGTGACAGACACATCTTTCTGGAACACTAAGCCTTGTTTCTCATTAATATTTCATAAGTGGCTTAAGCCATCAGGACTACTCTAAATGAAGGACACAGGAGGTAGTAATGAAAGTTTACATTTTTATTCCAGAAAAATTGTAGGCTGAGTAAGAATGCCTATAGTGTATGACATTAAGTCTGAGGCTTAAAATAGGCTATAGAGGGAAAGGAATGGAATTTTATACCCCACACTCCACTCAGGGAAACTGGATCCTTACAGGAGAGGCTGGTGGAATGGGAGGGCATGCCTTCTAGAGAAACAGAAGGGTTTCTGGTTAACTCTTCCTTTTTAGAAATGTGCTGCATCCTTGCACAGCCTCAGGGGCCAGATCTGATTGGGATGGGGAGAGAATGAACAAAAGCAAACACACAAATGTGCAGAAGAGCCGGGCTCAGGTGTGCTGTGCTCTCTGATGGAGAAAATGAAGCCTCCCAGAAGTACAGCTTACTAATTATGTACAGTTGGGCAGAAAAGCAGGGTTATTGCATACAGGTGAACATGAGGTGTGTGATTATATACAAATAAACAAGGAAGCAGAACTATTATATACCAAGGGGTCAGGTTTAGTTGACCCCAGCAGGAGCAGTCTCTATAGGAGAGCAGCCTTCAGGCCGTAGATATCCACATGGAGAAAGCTGTGGTAGACATTCTCTGCACACACTGTCAGCATCTGCACATACACCAGAGCAAGGCTCTGCCATCCCTCTGAGCCTCATCCTGGGGGCAGACTTTGCCACTCTCCTGTGGGTCTAAGGCTACTGTTCTTGAGATGGCCACATCCATGTCAACAGCCCACATTCCCTCAGGATTTTACTTGCTTGGGACTTCCTCTACTCCCCATAGATATTGAAATAAATTCTGCCTGTATGACAAATTTTTAAAAAATATTTTTAAAAAATAATATAAAGAAGTCAGATGAAAGAAAGTATGGAGCTCTTGACTTCATCTCTGCTACAACGGGCATGAAATAACTTTTCTGGGTCTACAGGTAGGGAGTTAGCAATACGAACATCCAAGAGAAAGGGGATGCCAGGTACAGTGGCCAACACAGCCCTAGAGACTGAATGATATAAAATATGATACACCAAAAAAACAGGGACTAGAATCATAAAAGAGAAAAGAAATAATTAGGCAAGCATTAATCCTGTGTGGCCATACAAGCTGTGGTAAAGAGGTTGGGCTGTGTTCTGAGAGTCCGGGGAGACTACTAACAGGATCTTAGCACTGTGCCTGCCAGTGGTGGTCACCACCAAACAACGATAAGAATGATGGGAAGGAGAAAGGGAAGCTTGCATGCTGTGGTTTAGAATCAGGAGAGAAGATACTCTAGGAAAAATGGGTTGCATTGTCTTGATTTTTAGAAAGTAAATTTTAAAATCTGATAATTCTATTGATAGAGATATTGGAACCAATACTATTTTATGAAATCTTGTTTGCTCTTAAAATACTGAAATGCTGGCCACAAAGTAGTCAAACATGCTAATGAAGAATAAAAATCAATAGCCAAAAATAATGATGATGATAGTAATATAATTAGGCCATGCCTGATGTCACTCATCTTCTATCCCTTGCATACCATTCTTTTAATTGTGGTGAAGCCACAGTCCTTCCCCATTCATCTGTATTAGCTGAACATTGTTTTTAAGATCAAGTCCCTCTGCCACCAAGTTGTGGATCGGCCTGCAATTCAATTCACGGAGAGTCTGGTAACACATTTAATGCTACCATATGGTCAGATTTTGTTTTCAGCCCTTGGGTGGGGCAAAACTCCTAGTTTTAGCATATTTGGTTTGCTTTGATTTAAGCTCTCATACCTAAATGGATTTTAGAATTTGTAGTATAAAAACAAATCGGGATAGTTAGCACACAGAAATGCACATGTGTATTAAGGCTTGGCTTGGAGACCTGATCTATTCCAGATGTCAAAGTCTGCTGCTTACTCAGCTCTACAGTTTGCACTTAAAATTTCATATGAATTATATTTTATAGCCCTGTTAATCTTAGCTCTCTGCACAGGAAATAGTTCCTTTATAAGAACTTGGGTTTTAATGGGCAGTTTTTCTTTAGGAGCTAGTTCAACCTATAAATGCCATTTGCAATACTTCATAGGCTAAATATCCTGGGTTACTCATTATATCCTGGGACTCTGGGGTTCTGACATTCAGTCTTTACAAAATAAATAAATAAATCCTTGAGAGGCATACAGCAATACTCAGTTGGTGAAGAAGTTACCCTGCAAGCTAAAGGGTCCGTGTTGGATCCCTAAACAGTGTGGTGGCACACATTTGTAATCCCAGCACTGGGGTGTTCGGAACAGAAGGCTCCCTGAGGTCAGCCAGTTTAACCTCATTTGTAAGTTCCAGAGCAGGGAAAAACCCTATCTCAAAGGAGGTAGATGATGTTTCTGAGGATGACACCTTAAGGTGTCCTTTGACCTCCTCTTGTGCACTTACACACACACACACACACACACACACACACACACACACGAACCCTCACATACACATGTACCTGTGCAAACACAGGCACCCACGAACATACAGTGAAACAAAGTAAATCCTTGAGAACCCTGAGCCCTGGTCACAGAACACTGGCATCTAACACTGGCCCTGTGATCCCTTTGTAAATGTGACCACTAAATTAATGAATTTATTGTACTCCCCTGCAAATGAAAATTGCATGGCATACAAGACTTTTTAAAAGAAGAGAAACTTTGTTACTACAAACCCATTTTCAATATCAGTTATCTTTCTTCAGGTTGTGCTATAATAAGCAATTAATAACATTCCCCAGGCAAATAAAAAGTGATAACAAACAGAACATATCCCACGGTTCAGTACTGTGTTTATTTTCTGCCCCTGTCAACATTTTAGTTTGGGATCTGTTCTGCTTGAGGCTCTGCTGCTGTCTTCTAGGGCTTTAGCTTTGTAGAACCAGGCTCCTGGAAAGAATAAGCAGTGACTGAGTCACCCAATGACACCAGAGCCTCTATGAGGAAATAGGTTTGTCTTATCCTCAGGTCTGAGCAATTCCTGCAGTGAAGCTCACAGTCATGGGAAGGACTAAGTGTTAGTGCCCCATCGGGAGACATGACAAGTCTCACACAGAGAACAGATATTCAGTCCTCTCACATAAAAGAAGCCAGCGATCATGAAATACAAAACCATTTCTTCTAGTTTCCAAGCACAAAGAAGAGAGTTTGTTTGTTTTTTTTTTCTTTTTGATGAGAATATGAATTTACAAGTGCTAGGATATTAACTACAAATTGAATTTTGGGTCAGTTAGAGCATTTGATAAATTTTGTTCTAGTATCTCTGTTTAAAATGTGGTGGTTAAAGTATTCCTATGCCTGGGATCCAGGAGAAGTACAGGTTTTCAGAATTAATAATGTTTCCTTCCACAAGGAGAGAAACACTGCCAAAATCAATCGCACCTTCCAGGCTGAGTGCCCTTGAGGCCTGTAAGTTCCTCTTATGACATCTGGATGGCAGCTGCGTTCCCCTTGCTAATGTCCTTGAGTGTCACTGATCAGGACCCAGGGGACCAGCCCTCTTCAGCTTGCTCTGATGCTTTTCTTCCTTCTCGTCATCTTCTAATGGACTAATAGAAATGAGAGACAATGATCTCAGAGGAAGCAAACAGAACCCGAGGGATTAGAGGACAGGGCACTGTCTTCCTCGTGTTTCATGTATTTTAGTCTTCAAGAGCTGTCCCTGTTAAAGACCGAATTGTTAGATTACACACTTTCGCATTAACTGGCCAGCAGGAATTTGTCAAATACCGTAAGCACCTCCCTGCAGAAGGTTTTGTTTGGTCTGCTTGGTTGTCTTCTTTTTGCTAGATACTTGAAAGGACACTTTCTCTTCCCTCTGAGACTTTCCATTCTGTCAAATAGCATGACTTGACTTAAGTCTAAGAAATTTGTGTTGCAGATGTCAAGAGCTTAGAGTAAGGAACTGGAATGAGCCTGACTCAGTGAGACAGCATGTGATTAGCTCACATGGCCCAGCCTTTAAAACAGTTTTAGTTCTTATCTTCTCAGAGCGTCCTTGGCTATGGATCCACATGCACATCTGTCTGCATCGCAGATGTTCTTACAGTAGCATTTGCGGTATAAAACTGTGATGTATAGTGACCCTTCCAGACCTTCGTACTTCTACCAGTTTTGGATGAGAGGAACAATGTCACAATATCCCACCAACCTTTCCTTTACTACCCACTGCCCATAACCTAAACAATTCTCACCGACCTCAGCTTAAAAGACATGTCTCCTGAGCACCCCTTACCTCCCTGCACGCATCTTATTATCATTTTGCTATTCTGAAATGAAATTCCATCTACACAGATTCAACACATTATATACAAAACCATTAAGTTACGAGTGAAATTAAGGCAACAAAATTAAAACCACATTTATTGCTATGTGCGAGATGTCTGGACAAGTTTCGGTGTGAGATAGGACAGAGTCAGCTGTTTGTCTCCCACACTGCCAGGAATTCTCCTGAGTAAACTCAGGCCGATGTGGTGTGGACTGGTGACTGCTCTCTATGAAAAGTGAGAACCTCTTGCTAGCTATCAGGAAGGAAGAAAAAAAAACTACTTTTTTCATTTGTATTCTACTGGTCATCCTAGAAAATTGTGAATATTATGAATTTCTAAAAGTACTTTATGTTATATACATAAAACTGGACTAGATTAGTGCACAACAGCAAAACTTTCACCTAAGTGAAAATCACACAGGATATTAGAGAATCCTTGTGTGTGACTGTTACCTTTTGGACTGCCTAATGGTATGAATCTTAACTATTCTATACTCCTCATGCCCCCACCAACATCAGAATAATAGTTTTAAAAAATGCCCTCATGTTTTCCCAAATGCCTAATTATAGTGCCCACTGTGTTTAGCACAGGTTAAGTGACTGTGCTAAGCTCCGCTCCTGCACGAACATCACTTTTGCCACAGCTCCAGAGAATATCTGTGCCTGTCTCAAGTTTGTACTAGGGTACTCCGACACCACAGGGCCCGCTGCTTGCAGAGACCTTGATAGACCAATGGAGAGTAGATTAATATTGGGGGTGCTCCATCCTCCAGAATAACTTCATGGAACTAGAGTCTCTTGTATATTCTTTGTACAATTCCCAACTGTGGGGAGAATCTCCAGGGTTCTACCTTTAGAGATGTCAGAAATAACAAGAGTTCTTTAGTTGATGTTTTATTACCAGCAGTCTTGGGAAATTTCACTGCTGTCTTATAGATTCCTTTCCATCTCATTATCTAGGCTTAGATGTAGTAACTTACTAAGATTATTAAGTCAGGAGATAGATGACAGATGGGGACATGAACTGGGTCATTGACACAGTTTGTGGCTACTGCACTGGTTTAATTTTTATTACATGTATTTATTTGTTTGTGTATGTGTTGGGAGTTGCACTACAGCACGCATGTGAAATGGACAGACAGCTTGCAGGAATCAGTTCTCTACTTCCCCCATGTCAGTCCTGGGAAATCAGGCTTGGGTCCTCAGGCTTGGCACCAGTGCCTTTACCCACTGAGTCAGTGATCTGTAAATTTAGTTTTCTAGAACTATGTTTGGATTCTGTATGTATATTAATAAGTGAAATTGATCCATTTTTTTATTTTTTACTGTTTATGTTAGAATTTGATAGTAGAGAGTTGTGCCGGGACTGGGAGCCTTTGAATAAGTGATATGCGGGGATTATCTGTTCCTTAAAGGTTGAGAAGGACTTAGCAAATATACATCATCTTCTCATGGTGCTTCCTTCTCGGTGAAGGAACCAGGTAGCGATATTCCACTTGCCCATGATGCGGTATTCCTATTTCCCTTTTCTTCAGATCCTTTAGTAATTTATATAATTTTATGAAAATAATCTATCTTGAAAGTTCAAAGACTGGCAAAGAACTGTACAAAGAATTACAGTTAATTCATTGTATGTTTCTTTGACTCTGTGTTTGTAATGTTTATAATTTTTATTTCGTATACTTATACATATTTCTGATTTTCTCATTTGTCTAAAATTTGCTTTTGGTATCCCTGTTCTCAACCCTCCTTTTAAAAAGCTGTTCTTCAATTTATTGATGATCCTGCTTCCTTTTGTAATTATTAGGTTTAATTGTTAGTTTTTACATTTTCTTTTAATGGTTTTATTCCATTGTTAGTATTGATTCTCTAGGTTCTCTCTCCCTCTCTCTATATATCTCTTTCCTCATCCTTCCTCCTGACTTTTTTTTTTTGGTGATGAACACAGTTTATTGCTTTAGTTGCAGATTTAGTTGAACTTTCATCTTTTGATATGTTATATTCTTGGCTTTTGTTGTTTGGGGAAACTTTCTGCAGTTACAGATTTATTTCCTCTTTGATATTGTGGAAATTATTAGCACATTTTAAGAATATGTAGGTATGGACTGTATTGGCTAAATATTTTATCAATATTTGGTATCACTAGTTTGTGCTACTTCTAAATATTATATAACCACTACCTAAATTAAGGTTTTATTTATTTTGGATGTACTATTGGCTAGTCTCCAAATACTACCTGACTACTAAAGTGACTTTAGCAGTACAAATCCTTCTTTACTTTTCTGCTTAGGTTGGAGACCACAACAACTTACTTGGAAATATCTGTGGCAATGCAGCCCTGCCACCCATTAGATCATTATCTAACAAAGTATGGATCAGGCTGAGAATAGATGCTTTAACCCAGAGGGCAAGTTTCAGAGCTGACTATCAAGTTGGTAAGGAAACTTGTGCTTTCTTGTTTGTGTGCATGCATGTGTGAGTACGTGTGCATACTGTGTGTTCTGTGTGTGTGGGGGGGGTTCCCATGGAGGCCAATACATTGATATTGGATCTCTTCTTCTATTCTCTTCCACCTTATTGAGACAGGGTTCCTTACCCCCACCCCGAACCTAGAACTCTATGATTCAGCTAGATTGGCTGACCACTGAGCTCTCCCCATCCCCAACCATCCTAGAGCTGGGATTGCACACACACCATTGTATCAAGCTTCATGGGTGCTGGGGAACAGAATTCATACATATGCAGCAAGCAGACCCATGTTTTCATCCCTATCTATTTTTAAATTGTTTTACTATTATGTTACTATTTATGTTAATGGGCTTTTTGTCTAAACGAATGTCTGGGCACAGCATGTGTACCTGGTGCTCTCAGAGTCTACAAGATTCCCTGGGGTTGGAGTTGAAGCTGGTTGTAAACTGACACATGGGCACTGGGAATCAAACCCAGATCCTCTAAGAGCAGCCAGTGTTTTTAACTACTAGCCATCCCTCTAGCCCCTTAATGGTGCTTTTTACTTGTTTATTAATGTCAAATTTGCATTATTCTAACACAGAAAATATTCCCAAAAAAGTGTCACACTCTGATGTTTCTTTAAGCAGAGTTTGATTTGTAATGAAATTGAGGCCAAGAGTTCTTTATTTCTAAGAAAATATGGTTATCATTTTTCCATGTATAGCTTGTGGGGGTGAATTAACAGGAGAAGGAGTCATTCGCTCACCTTTTCATCCTAATGCATATCCTGGACAAAGAACCTGTAGGTGGACCATCTCCCAACCCTCAAAACAAATTGTTCTCCTCAACTTCACCGACTTCCAGATTTTAAATTCCCCCTGCGATACTGATTACATTGAGGTAAGAGTGAAGTATCATTGAATTCTACTAAAGGCATTATATGCTGTTTATATGAAAAGGACCATTGCTTGTACAGACCAATATCTCATAAATATAGACATGAAGTTTCCTAGCAGAATACTACTTAACAGAATGCAGTATGTACATGATTATATACCATGATGAAGGGAATTTTTACTAGCATGTGTAGAATATTATTATGTCCTAAAAATCAGTGAACATTATAGTACAGAATATAACAGTATATAAAATAAAAGACGATATATTCACTTAATAAAATACAAAACAGAAAAAAACCCACTTGACAGATTCTACCTGCTTGTTATAATAAAAACAGTTTTAAAAACTGTGGAAAGAGAAACTTTAATTTGATATAAGGCACCAAAAGCATACAGATACCATCATATACAGTGATGGGGGTATTAATGCTTCACCTCCATGATTGGTTGAAAAACAGGCATATCATCTCATCACTTCTGCTCAGCAATGTGCTGAAAACTCTTGTTAGAGCAATGACGCAAAATAAGATGCACCCTGAATGGAAACAAGAAATAAGACTTGTTCTACTCACAGTTCCAAAAAGTGACTGATTCTGCACCCCTCCACCACCACCTCCACACATATTGATTGTTTTACCACCAAGGGCGACAGTTTTCCAAAATAGATATCTCATAAAAAATTAACCTGGCTATATCTACTTTTCCTTAGGTTGGTGGCAGTTCTGTCTTAGGATCTCCTGGAAATGAAAAGTTTTGTGGCACAAACATACCATCCTTGTATACATCTCTGTATAATGTTCTCTATGTCACATTTGTGAAAAGTTCTTCTATGGAAAATCGTGGCTTCACGGCTAAGTACAGTACTGAGAATTTAGGTAGGAACATGTCTTCTCTCTCTTCCCATTTTATGCTGCTATCAGAATAAATGAGCAGTTAAACTAGGGATGTGTGTCTATGTGTATAAGGCCCTGGGTTCAATCTCCACCTCTGGAAACACGATTTCATACAATAAATGAATTATATAAAATCAATTATTCTGTGAAAATTATGATGTACACTTAAAAACAAAGACTGTACTTTCAACAAATACTTATCAATGGTTATCATGTATCCACTAATAAAAGAGAAGACTAAGTTATCATACATGGCAAACAAGAAGCAACAGTTTTCTTTTGTGCTTTTAATAAATTGTGATAAGCACATTTTATTTTGGGACCTGTGTACCTTATCCATTAACTGTTGTTATTATTGCTATTGTTATTATTTTAACAGAATGTGGAGAAGTTTTCACAGCAGCAATGGGAACCATTGAAAGTCCTGGTTACCCAAATATCTACCCAAGTGGTGTAAATTGTACTTGGCATATAGTAGTCCAGCAAGGCCAACTGATTCATTTGACGTTCGATTCATTTTATCTGGAGTTTCATTACAACTGCACAAATGACTACCTGGAAGTTTATGACACTGTTGCTCAGATATCTCTTGGGAGGTAAGAGTGCTCAGTTGTTTACGCTGAACTTTAAAACATAACATATAGACTTTTCGTACACAGATGAACAAAGTCAGTATGGCGCTTACATCGTTATATATATACATACATACATACATGTGTGTGTGTGTGTGTGTGTGTGTGTGTATTCTCAGGTCTGTGTTATAAATTGGCAACGTATTTTGACCTTGCATACAGTTATATTTTGAAATGAAGTACATGAAATAATAAGGCCTACCTTATTGAGAAATACATGATTTAGCATAGTTATCATTTCACTGGTAATAACACAAAATATCCACCTGATATATATTTTTAATGATATGATATGTCATCAACTATAGTCACCTTGCCATGTAATAGATATCTTGGGATGTTCTCTCCTTTCTATCTGACTTTTACCAACATCTTGCCTTCCTCCCCAGTTATCCTTAGGCTTTGATAAGCACCATTATATTATCTACTTTTTAAGAATCCATATATCAGTGATATCATGCGGTACTACTAATCCTATGCTTGGTTTATTTAGGTTAATATAATGGCCTCTAAATTTACCTACTTTGTTCTGAATGGCGAGATTGCATTCCTTATGAAATAGTGTTCTATGATATATATAACAGCGCCACATTTTCTTTATTCATTTATCTATGATGGGCACAGAGTGTTTCTATATCTTTGCTATTGTGCATAAAACAGTAATAAACACAAGAGTGCAGCTACCCCTTCAGTGTACTGCTTTAATTCCCTTCAGATATAATCTCAGTAGTAACATCACTTGACCATAAGATAGTTACATTTTCAACTTCTGAAGAGCTTCTAAATAGTTTTCCACAATGGTTCGTTCACATTCTCACTAACCATGCATATGGATTATTTTTTCTCTACATTCCCAACAACAACAACAAGAACAAAATCTCTTTTTTATAACAGCCATTATATCAAGATGAGTCTGTGATAGAGTTTGAATGAGAATAGCTCTATAGGCTCTTATGTTTTAATGCTCGGTTCTCAGTTAATGAAGCTATCTGGGGAGGATTTCAAGGTGTGGCCTTATTGAAGTAGGTTTGGCCTTGTTGGCAGAGAGGCATCACTAGGAGTGGGCTTTGATTTGAAGTTTAAAAAGCCCACTCCAGCCCCAGTGTTTTATTTCTCTGTGCCTGCTGTCTGTGGATCAGGGTATAAAAGGCTAAGCTACTACTCTAGCGCCATGCTGACTGTTCCTGCCATGGTAAGAATGGACTAACTCTGCAGCTGTGACCAAGCTCCCAGTTAAATGCTTTATTTTATGAGTTGCCCTGGTCATGATGTTTCTTCACAGCAATAGAACAGTAACTAAGACAGTGATAATATATCATTGTGGTCTTGAGTTTTCATTTCCTTGTTAATGAGCAAATAACTCTCATTTTTTTCATAGATTCATGACTCGTTTCTATGTCTTGTTAGAGATAATGCCCAAAATAATTGCCCATTATTTTGGTCAGATTATTTGTTTCCTGTCATCATTATTCCTCATATATCTTGGGTATTAACTGTTTCTCCAACATATAGTTTGCCAGTAATCCCCATTTTATGGGCTGAATCTGCATTCTGCTGGCTTCAGCTATGCAGAGGATTTGAAGGTTGCTAGAATCCCATGTGTCTTGGCTTGCCTGTGCTTTTGAGGTCATTTCTGTAGAAATCCTTGTCCAGATCCCTATCATAAGGTGTTCTTCCTGTGTCTCTAGTCTACTCACTTCACTTCCCACATTAACTCTTTAACACTCTTGGAGTTGATTTCATTTTTTAATTTGCCTGCATATGCATATTCATGTTTTCCAACATTTAGTATCACATAACTATGCAGAGTCTGTACCTCTATATATTGATTATTTCCAGACCTTCTAAGTCTGTGATACAGTTATAATTATTTTAATGTCTTTGCTCATTCAATGGTTATGTAATTACATACTATGTTTTAGTTGATTATTCCCTCTCATTATGAGTTACACTTTCCTGTTTCTTTTGTATTTGATGTGTGATAGGTTGTTAAGAATTTTTAACTTTATGTTTTAGGCACCAACGTACAGTTACTAACCTCTATGTAGCTGCTGGGAATTGAATTTATACCCTCTAGAAGAGCAGACTGTGCACATAACTGCTGAGTCATCTCTCCAGCCTACTTTTCAAACTTGTTATATATTCGTTTCTTTTTATCTATTAACTTTGTAAACTTTTCCCTTTTTAAGTTAGTCTCTACATTTCTTCCTTCTGTTTTTTCCGCTTCTCACCCTCTTTTGCTTCTTACCTTAGTCTTCCACCATTTGATTTTTTTCTTTTTCTTTTTTTAGAGTAATATCTGGGTACTTTTCACCATGACAAAAAATGCAATTTTTGCTGAGGGGAATAAACTTTAATGATCTTGTTTCTATTTAGGATACATGGCCATGTGTGCACATGTATTTGCTAATTTATCTGCCTTCAGTCTCAGTAAGATGGTAATTCTCTGATGATACTAAAATGCTAGTCTACACTAAACTTCAATTCTAATATTTCTCATATTCAACACTTAAGCTTATTTTTGTTCCATATTATTTTTTTCTCTCTGGTCCCAAGCATGCATTGGTTTGAGATTTCTATTTTTCTAGCCTTTTCTTCTTACACATATTTCTCAAGATAAAATATCATGGCATAATATCGTCATTTACTCTAGTTGTGTTTTAGGTATTACTAGAATAGACTTTCTGAGTAAACTTCCTTTGTTATGCAGGAACAATGATGTGGTTTACCAATTATACATTTACCTTTCCACAAGCCAGCTGTTTAAGGACAATAGGCAGCTTACACCAGAGGTCACTTTCCAGACACGGCGTTTAATGCTTTATACAGTATAATAACTGATGAAGATGTTATGAACTATGTGAAGTAGACAGAGAGAGTGAGGCAGAGCAATTGAGCTATGTGCCCAAAGTCATGATGCCCCGGGGTGACAAGACTGACTGGGGCTTGTGCTGGATGAGTTTAGGTGCATTGATCTTTTTATCACAGTTCCATTAACGAGTTCCTTAGAATGATAGTAGCAAGCTAATGCTGCCCCTGCTTAACTTCCCATTTATGTCAAGGCACTCAGCTGGACACACAACTCTTTCAGTCAGGGAATCATGAACATGCGTGTTTATGCTATTACTGAAATGTATTTGGTTTTAAGGTTGATAAGAAAGAGATAATAACCCATTATCATCTTTACATGTCCTAAATTTTTGGAATATCAGTTCAAATATACTATGTGTCTAAAAATCTGTTTATCTCTTCTTTCTTTGTTTGGAACAGATATTGTGGAAAATCCATCCCACCTTCTCTTACTAGCAGTTCCCATTCAATAAAGTTGATGTTTGTGTCCGACTCTGCCCTTTCACACGAAGGATTTTTAATCACATATGAAGCATTTGACGCATCATCAGGTAACACTGTTTCTATTGCAAATGAGATCTAATGTCCAAAACACAGAAATACCTGAAATAAAGTATAAAGACAATGCCAACCTTTTTAAAAATAGGGTAATGCCGCACTACCTGAGCTGTGTGCCTTTTTAGGGATTCTGGGCATTAATTTTTGTAGCATACTTATAAAGATACACGTCAGAGAAAAGTAGCATACAGCACATATCCACAGCAGGCACATGGTACCTCTACTTGTCAAGCATTGCACATGTCTGGGGCTGGATGTATTTTTTCTGGAAGTCTTGTGTCCAGCCATCTTTGAGGTATTCTTATCTACAGTTCTTCCTCCCATAATAAGTAAATAAAAAGTTCTCTCACTCCAAGTCCCTAGCTAGCTTTCCACTTTCTTCTCCTCCAGGGAGTTTGGTCACTGTGCTTTGATCCAGGCAAAAGTAGTTCAACTTCTATGTTGTGGAAGCTTGGCTTTAGAAAATGAGAGTACACGAGACTTGTGTGTGTTCATCTCTGGTGGAACTCCCTCTAGCAGATAGCTCCTTATCCAGCCCAAGCACATGGGGAGTCAAAGCCCAAGGATTTAAAGTATAGTGTGTTGTGTAATTGACATTTTTAACTGGGCCTTATTCAGGTGGTTAACAGCCAAAGACCAAAGTGGATTTCTCAGGAAATTACAGTGTGTGCGCAATTTTCCATACTTCTGTAGTTTCATCTCTCTCATATGTTTGGCCCTAAACCACAGTGAATATTAGATTTGGAGTAAGTCAGTTGAGCTTTGTAAGGCACAATTTTCTCATCTGTGTAATTAAAAGATTAGATGTGATGATCTTGGAAATGTTTTCTGGTTCTAATCCTCTATGAACATAATTTTAATTTGCTGCATGAATAAACTCATTGTATCTTAAGTAACACACAATTCAGGCAATGCCTCCTGGAAATAGCATGGAGATCTTCATAATAGTACACAAAATGAAACATAGGTCTGTAATGACTGAAATGCTTGTGTTAACACCACACCAGCTTGGAAGGCAGTATGAAGGGAAATGACAGCTGAGAGCCATTAACAGAACCTGGGGAGGAGGATGACAAATTTAAAACCTAATGAAATTGCTCAGAAAGATAAAACATAGGCGAAACTCACTAAAGTGAGCTAAACAGGAAGGAAACTGATAGGGAGACCAGAGTTTGGAGTAGGCTCAGCTACAACGTATGCTCAGAATGCGTGGATGGACTCAGTCTCTCCCAAACCCCTCTAACACAGAAGAACAAAGGAAAGAGAAGAAATGAGAGGGGAGAAAAGCCAAGCATTAGAAGAGAAGACACTGAAGGAGCAACTGCAAACACCCTCTGCCCTGCTTCCCCGTGTTAGTCATTACTCCAGCCCCTGCTTGGTTAAGAATAAGCTGAGTCACAGTCAAGGGAGCACATTCTTTCTGTCCCTTGACTGTTCACTGTGTGTCTGCCTTTTGCTGGATGAACTCATGGGACTGGTTAACACAGTCACACCATTTGAAATAGCAATCAGATGATGGGACCCAGAAAGTCATTAGGGTGGCTGGATTGCACGAGTTGCTGAGGCCGGCCCTGTGGTATGGCTCAGGGCACAGCTGGCTCAGAAGACTGGGACAGAGGTTAAGTGGGTGGTGCCCAGGCAGTTGGCTAGTGCTCCCAGGAGCCTTGGTGAAATGAACTGCTGCTGGAAGGACAGAGGTGAGGGCTGTTTTTTAGGGTAGCATGTTTTTTCTGGGTATTTTCTGAAGACTGAAATCATGTCAGACAAAAGCACCAGAGGACACCCAATCACTGGCCTGTAGGCTATTTTATTCCTCTGGCAAAAGTTATTTTTTGAATGGTGATGATAGTTTGGAGTGCTTAAGTCTAGTTCCTTAGCACAGCCCATAGACATTCCCCCCTGAATCTGTCCCGCCATCATTTGATAGAGTCAAAATTTCCAGATTTGAATCCAGTTACACTTCCATCTGTAGTTCCTGCCATAATGCCATGATGTCAGTCCTTAAATATGTGGTTTTTGGAGGAAGGAGATTGGCATGTTGCTCACACTCTCACTCTCTCCCTAAGCATTCTGCTGCAGCTCTCATTCAAATGTGTCTGGGCAGATAAAAACAAAAGACATAACAAAAATAATGGTGTTCAGCTGGGCAGTGGTAGTGCACGCCTTTAATCCCAGCACTTAGGTGGCAGAGGTAGGCAGATCTCTGTGAGTTCAAGACCAGCCTGATCTACAAGAGCTAGTTCCAGGACAGCCTCCAAAGCCACAGAGAAACCCTGTCTCAAAAAACCAAACCAAACCAAAACAACAACAACAACAACAACAACAAAAAACAGTGTTTGGTAGAAACTCATCAGAACTCCTTACCACTGTTTATAACTCTCAACATTTACTCTCATGAAATAGAAAATATTTAAATAATATAATTGGTATTCTTTACCATTTAAGTTGTAATCATATACTATTAACATCTATTACTTTATCCACTGATCAAATATAGAACTATTAAGATAGAAACTTCCAAGTATAAACAAGAGCAGAAATGAACTTAAACTTTAAGATTAAATGATATCTATTTAACAGTTACTCTTACTTTTCAAACTAATTCCTGATTCATTCATTAAAATGTGGAGTTGGAAGAAAACAAAAGAGTGGAAAGTATCAGAGTTTCCCTACAAATTTGGCCATCTTGTCAAGAAAGTACAAAGCACAGTCTACCTCCAATTAATCTTTGAATGAGGGAGATAGTAGTCTAGAATGCTGAATCTGTCATCTAGGAAAAAATAGCTCACTTGTTTAAGAGCCAAACTAAACAACCAGGTTTCACTATGGAGTCCATTTCTGTTGTCATTCACAACAGGGCCACAGTAGAACTGTGGTGAATGTTTCTTACTTTTTACAAAGAGAAGAGCTTCACAGTTATCCAGAGATGTGGCTAAGACTGGTCCAAAGTACAATATTATGAACAAATATAAATATAAAAAGGTGGATCCATTGGGATTTCCCACCCATCTAGTTGCTTCTTACACCCCATTGAGTATTTAGTGCTAATTTTCATCAGTCATCTTGGAATGATCCCAGAAAGAGAATGCATGAAGTTAAGAAATGATATCAAGAAGACCACAGGGAATTTATTCCAAGAAATGGGCAGAGAGGATTCTGTTCCTATTTTTAGATTTCAGTGTAGTAAGAACAACATTCTCAGATTCTAATGGTCATTTTAAAAAATCTTCAGAAAGAGGAGGTTGTCCTGTTATAAACTCAGTTATCAGAGTTCAGTTAGAAATTCTGATTAAGATCTAGAGTAAACTTTTACTGAGAAATTCAAGTGGATCTAATTGAGTTCATATTTATAGTTTATAAAAAACTATTACAGAATGGCATGATAAGTAATTTTGCTCATGTTTGAAGGTCCTATTCACTGTAGACTGAAAGTGAGGCCAAAGAGAGTCATAGTCAGTGACAGCTTGACCTGGACTTCCTTGGCAAGTGTCAGGCCTTGCTTGTATACCTCAATCTGAATCTGATATTACATGCCCAGATATTTTGTGGAAGTTACTTTTTCAAATGTATTAATCTCTTAAATAGTTTCATCTAGTAAATCTTAAATATTTTCTTATGTTTGTGTGTACAAATAGCCTAGCACGTCTCTTCTGGGTTTGTGTGTGTGTGAGCATGCTTGCATGCCCGTGCATGAGCAATCACTTATGTGTTGGTCCTTAGAATTAAAACAGTGCTTAACTGTCATATTTTTAGTCCCTTACTAGTCTAGGTTGACATTTCCTCTGTAGAAAAACTAGGAATTATAGGACTGTAGAGGTGGCTCAATGAACAAAGTGCCTGTTACATAGGCATGAGGACCAGAGTTCAAACCCCAGGTACCATGTAAAAAATAAAGCTAAGACTGATGTAATCTACACCTGTCTTCTCAGTGCTGGAGGGGTGTGGACAAGCCACATTCAGGCTAACACCAACAGCAAGCTTAGGGACTCTTTCTCAAAAACTAAGTGGAGAAGTGATCAAAGGAGAAATCTGACAGTCAACCTCTGCCTCTGCACAGACCCCCCCCACACACACAAGTGTACCTTCACACAAGAACACACTTGCACACATACACAAAAAACACAAATTAAAGAATTCAGGATTTGGAGAGTTCAAATTTTATCGTGTGTCCAAACTAAAAGAATTTTAAAACGTCATTTCAAACAGTCTCAGTCCTTTCCCTCTTTAACTAGAGGGGTTGTCTATGCTGTTTCACAGCACATGGAAAAGTAAAATGAGACATTCAGTGTAAAAATTGCATTTCGGGAGGGGAAGGATAGCTCAGTGATGTAGTGCCTGCTTGAGCTGAGATTCCTGCCACCTGTGTAAAAAAGCCAGGCATGATTGTGATCTCATGCACCTATGACCCTGGTGCTGGGAAGGCAGAGACAGGAGGATTCCTGGAGTCTGCTGGACAGCCAGCCTAGCAGAATCAGTGAGCTTTGGGTTCAGTGACAGACCCTGCTTCCAAAAAGTAAGGTGGAGAAGTGATGAAGGGAGCACTGGCATTGACCTTTGACCCTCTCATGCACACACAAGCATACACATGAGCATGTATGCACAGAGACACACAGATCATATAATAAGGAAAGGCCCATGGCCTTGCCAGATTTAAAATGGGACTGCTGATGCCCACTCAGTTCTATAACAGCTGCTCTGCTTGTATTCATGATCATTTGATGGGTCATCTGTGAGGACAAAGAAGAGGCTGATGGGCACTGGACCTATCTTCTCACAGAGAGTGCACACAATCTGTTCTTCTGCCTGGAAAAGTCTTTGTCCTTTTATGGTTAATGGGCTTCTGTTTCTTATCTAGGAAAAGTTTCCTTGTCAAAATTATGAGGACTTCCTCTGTGTGTCTTCTAGAAGTTTTATAGCTTGAGCTTTTAGATCTGTGATTCATCTTAATTTCCCAGTATGGTGTAAGTTAAGTTTCCAAGACCATTCATTTAAAAAATGATACTCAGCTGTGCAAGGAAGTGTCTTGGCCCCTATCTTCCCCAACTATACCCCTCCCCAGAATTCCCTTTAAGCCATTGCTGGCAGCAGTTGTCCATGTGCATTATGTCAGTGCTTCTGGGATGCCATGATGGCCACATGGGGCCTAATAGAAAAAGGACAGTCCAATATATAACATTACAGGTTCCTGCTCTATAAATATGTAGAGTGGCGATTTCTACAATGACATATCTTTTACAAAAGTTTTCTTTTGGTGACCTTAGAACCTTTGCATTACTGTACACATTTTAGAAACAACCTTTTGTTTTTTATCAATTTTTTTGCAATTGACTGTAATTCTATTAAATTCATAGATCAATTTGAGATTACAAGACATCTCAAATTATCTTCATTCCATATTTTTTGCACTGTGTAATTCATTCCATATTTAACTTGCTGTCTCTTCATATTTTCTCTGCTTTTAAATTCCTAGTGTTGACTCTCACATTTTCACTCAGCTCATCATGTGTAAATAGTCCCGTAACTTGCTTGACTGTCACCAGGGACTATACACTCTACACTGTTTCCTTTGTAGAACGATTTTTAATGACAGATTGAATTTCTTTGATGGATTGAGGTCACGAAAGCACTTTTTTCTTTTGGGTCAACCATAGCAGTTTGTGGCTGTGAACAAATTTGTCAAATTTATTTGCAGTTTTTGTGAATCTGGTCTTTTACTGATTGGAGACTCTATAGTAATTCTTCCTTTTTTGCTCTTTATTTCTATTCCATTTCACTTGATTTCAGTTCTCATCTATGTATTTCTCTTATTGTGTTATTTAATTTGTTTCTCTTGAGAGCTTGTCCAAAAGTTCTAGTAGATTGGGCATGAAGCTAGTCTTTGACTATAGAGTGGTGGTTTTCAGTCTTCTGTTGTATAGGGATTTCCTCAGATCCAGAGTACAAGTGGAACAGAGGGAAGGACACACGGTTGCCCACCTAGACAGACTCACTATAGCAGTCCTTACAGCAGATGGCCCTCAAGTCCTGTTTACTTTTCTTTTTCTTTGGATGAATATTAACTATTTTTTCTGGTTGGAGAGATGATTTGCTTTAAATATATGAATAACTGGCTAACACTAGAAACTATGTGTAAACTCATGGGTTTGTCAGTTATGTCCTAAATTCAATGTCCAGTTCATTAGTGTGATGAATTTTATCACTGGGTATGGGGCATTTAGGATAAGCCTTTTTCCATCCCTGTAGCATTCTCTCTCATCCTCACCCTTTCACCTTCATTCACTCACTCCTTTCTTGCCTCCTTTTTGGATAAACTGTCACTGTGAGTCCTCTCAATTAAGTAAAGCCTTGATTTTTCCAGTAAGCTCAAATGTTTGATAAATATTTATTACTTTAGGGGTCCACATAGATAGTAGAACCTATAACATTTTACATGTGTCCTTGTGTTCCCAATACTAATAATGCACCCCCTGCCTGATGATACATGGCACAATTGGGGAAATGTAACTTCACAGCCTCAGCATTTATTTCATTTGCAATAAAATATAATAGCTCATTCTCTCCTACAGCACGGTTAAACTAGACTTTCTTTGTAAAGCATCTCAGATTGTATGGGCATAAGGGAGTGATGGGTTGCTTATTGAACAGAGTCTGAAAAGACTGAACAGGCAAAATTCAAACGCACTGGAGCATTTGCTGTTTAAATTAGGATGCAGCCTTCCAGGTAGGCTGCTAATTATTTCATGGTAATAATTAAACATACTCTTCAAAATTACATTTTTCTTAGGCCCATTTTATTTTGAAATATAATGATGATTATTACCACACGTTTATGGCAAGGCGGACACTTTAGCTGCATCATCTCATTCTCTTAAAACAATTCCCAAAGTTAGTAGCCATCGCCATCACGGAAATGAGGGATCTGAGATAAGGAGATGAGTGGCTTGCTTGTTTCCGTAGTATGTCTGCACCTGAGACATACTATGTATAATGTTTTCCATTTTCTCTGTTTCTTTTCACAGTGTGCTTATATGACTATACAGATAATTCTGGGACACTCACCTCCCCGAACTTCCCTGAACGTTACACCAATAACCTGAATTGCGTCTACAGGATCACAGTGGGATTCAACCGACAGATTGCATTGAATTTTACAAACTTCGCCTTGGAGAACAAATTGGGGAAAAATTGTATCGATTTTGTGGAGATCAGGTGTGGGCTTTAATTTCATTATAACCTTTATTTTCATCAATCCCAGAAAAGATTAAAGGACACATGGAAAATTTTGTAAAGTTATCTTATACATCCTTTATTATAACATGAAATTTGTCCTTTTAAGCGTGATATAGAAGAAGAAATTGTAAAGATTTGATGATTATTTGAGATTTTATTTTCTTGATTTAAATTATGTTTACATGCATGTGTGTGAGTGTGGTTGTGTTCATGGAAGTATGATGCCTGTGGAGGCCAGAAGTGGGTGTTGAGTCCTCTGGAGTTGCAAGTGGTTGTGAGTTATCTGTTGTGAATACTGGGAATTGAATTCTGGTCCCCTGTAAGAGCAGTAAATAATCTTAACCACTGAACCATCTTCTTGACCCCTGATAGTTATCTCAAATTCTAACATCAGGAATATTTAGCAATAAACATCAGATTTTATTTAGGAATGAAACAGATATACTATTACTCCATAAAATGTGATACTTGCTATTGTTAAAATCTACTTTCGTTTCCATTGCTGTGATAAAATATTGACTAAAAGGAACTTAGGTGAGGAAGGCTTTATCAAAGTATACAATTTCAGGTTCTAGTCTGTCATAGCAGGTGAGCAAGGTGCTAGGAATTCAGCTAGTCATATACCACAGTCAAGAGCAAAAAGAAATGAATGCATGCATATTTCTTACTAGATTACTTCATTATTGTGCCCTGCTCTATTTCTCTGTGTCATATAGTTCAGGAACTGCTGCTTAGAGAATGATGTCACCTACAGTGGGCTGCACTCCCACAGACATGGCCACAGACCAACCCAGTAGTCTTATTAAGATTCCTATCCCAGACGATTCTGGGTTGTGTCAAGTTGATAATCAACACCTACCATCATAGTCAAGCACCTTCATTCTTTATGTAAAACCAATATAAGGATTTGGGTCTTTGCTGTTTATTTAACCTAATTATATCACTAGAATTACTGGTATAATAGCAACCTTACCTTGTTCTTAAATAATAAATCAAGAACTGTAAATTTCAGTGCTTGAAATTTTCTTTTACTACTTGTACTTGGAATAAATGTATTTAAAAATTATATCACTGGCAATGGTATATAAGTATATATCTACCTATATATACTCGTATATGATTACATCAAGTAATACTAGGCTGATTATTTTGGTAAGCCACTGTATCAAGTATTTTAGTTACCACTTCAAATTTGGAATCTTTCAATATATTATAATAAATTTTATTCTTTGCTATAAGGATACTAAATTAACAAATTATAGTTGAACCATATCATGCTAAACTGACATAATTTTATTTGATGGGAGGGGGAGTTTAAGAGTCTCACTCTATAGCCTGAGGTGGTTCAGAATTCACTAGATAGTCCAGGTTGCCCTCAAACTCACAGAAATCCTCCCAACTCAGCATACTGAGTGCTATGATTATAGGTGTGAGCTTTCATGCTCAGCTAAATTTTCTTAATTTATAACAATTAAGCACTTGGCATTAACATTCAATGGATCATCTTTTTAAAAAAAATACCTGTAGATTTGAAATCCTCCAAACTTCTTAGGAAAATAATTATTTCCACAATTGTCCCAAATATTACCAATATGTTATATTACATCTTGAAGATTTCTAAATCAGTACGAACTATGTAATATTTCTTTAAAATTAAAAATATTGGTTTATACTATGGATAACTGGTTCCATATTCTACCTTCTCTGGTCTATTTGCCAGAGGCTTTGAGAAAGTGAATCTCAAACACATCGTCTCTGAAACTGGTGTAAAGATGCCATACAAGCCATCAGAAACAGACACTCTTTACGAAGTCATTCAAAGTCTAGTCAGTAAAGAATAAGACCTAAGAACTTGACCTTGTGTTATTTAAAGCACCGTTTAGGTGCTGAGGAGATTGGCAGTTCATCTGCATCCCCATACTTTGAGTATGTTGAATGCTTATTGTGTGTTGCAAACTGGAACTTAATCCCTTTTCATTTCTGTACCTGTTACAGAGATGGAGGCTATGAAACTTCACCGCTCCTTGGAAGTTACTGTGGCTCAGTTTTGCCTCCTCTAATCATCTCTCACAGTAACAAGCTATGGATAAAGTTTCAGACTGACAGCTCAATCACAGACTTGGGTTTCTCAGCTTCCTGGGTTGGATCGTCAACGGGTATGTAGCAAAGATCAGGCTTTTTATTGGAGAAACCAAACTGATTGGTTTCTTCGCTGTCATGCCATCACCACTCATCAAGTAACTTTCCTCATTCTTTATAATAAATTCCAACATCACAAATGTCTTTGGATTAACTACAGCATATATTTTGAAGGAAGAGGAAAGTTATTGTTCCCCAGGAAATTTTATCAAGTTACTTGTCTTGAGTAAAAAAATGAAAGCCTGTCAATGTAAAGCAGAGCTTTACATGATATGCTCTGAGATGCTTTAAAGAGAAACACAGGTTGGGCATGGTGGTGAACTCTTCTAATCCCTACCCCAGCGAGGGAGGCAGGAGGATCCCAAGTTTGAGACCAGACTGGACTACAAAATGTGTTCTTGTCTCTGAAAGCCAAAAGCTTGAGGTGTGAGACTCGGTGATGGTAGAGCTCATGCTTACTGTGTGTGAGGCTCCGAGCTCCATCCCCAGCACTGGAGAGGTCGGCATAAAAAGAGGAGACAAGTTGCTTCAGGATGACTTAGCCAAGGCTAATCTCGCAAGAAGAAAAGACCATATTTCATTCACTTTTCCCCCTTGCAGGCTGTGGAGGCAATCTCACCACCTCCACAGGGCTGTTCACATCTCCCAACTACCCGATGCCCTACTACCACAGCTCTGAGTGCTACTGGCTGCTGGAAGCCAGCCACGGCAGCCCTTTCCTGCTGGAATTCCAAGACTTTCATCTGGAGCATCACCCCAACTGCACTCTGGATTACTTGGCCGTATGTATAATGAGTCTCTGTGCCATTTGATGCTCCCCTCTTACTCAGTGCACAAGATGCATTTAAAAATATTTTAAGATTCAAAAAGCAGCAAGATTTAAGAGGAGCATTCAAATAAACTATTTACACAAATTAAAACCTTAAGGAAATGTGAGGAAAAAATGACAATCTTCTACATAGAATGTACTGAGTGACTTGATACATTAATTATTTAAGATATTTTACTATTAACCAGAAAGATTTGGTAAAAATATCCTGAGTACTTATGGACTTTGTCCTGACTATATCTATAGGACTTTATATATATGTTGAAAATTCATTGAGGTCAATTACAATAGACAGTAAACTCATGTAGCTATATCGTTCTATAGTTCCTGTAATTCACCTTGCTCCTGTAGAATCCTGTAAATAAAGTGGGCTGAAGTTTCACAAATTATACATTTTAGAATAAAAAAATAAGACATATCACTTATGGTCTCAAAGTTTGTACTGGACTTCCATTTTGTGTGTTCAGATTTCAATCTCAGTTCACTTACTTATTGTCATACATTTCAGTTATTGCCCAAGTTTAGAGACACACTGATATAATTTAGGACTATTCCTTTGTTAAAGAATACATACATTTTGTCCCCATTTCTTTACCTAAAAGTCCTTTATGTTCATAGCTTTGACCATCTAATGTGCAAAATGTCTTATTAAAGGTTTACGATGGCCCAAGTACCAGTTCCCATCTGATAAGTAAACTCTGTGGAGACACCACACCAGCTCCCATCCGTTCCAACAGGGACAGCATATTGCTGAAGCTGAGGACAGATGAAGGGCAGCAAGGACGTGGCTTTGAAGTAAAATACTCGCAGAGTAAGTACAAATTCCAGCAGCACAGAATCCCCAGCTAACATTAACTAGTGGTTTGAGCCTTTGAAATTAGTCTCGGGTTCTTATGTGAAAACTTTGGAGTCATTAGAAGGAAAAATGCATACACATTAAACCCAATTTTATATCACTGAAGTGTCTGGTAGACCAGGAAACTCAGGATAGTTTTTGCTATGTAGACAGCTGTAGTTCAGCTTGGGGTCATGCAACACTCTATTGACTCCTGGTTCTCACTCATACCACATTTTACAATCCTTTAATGAGACATTGGTCCAGTGAACAAAGTAACCTCACAGCCTAGGTTCTCTCCTCTGTCTTAGTTTTACTAAATAGAGAAGCATGCGTTGGAAAGGTATGGTCTTTATTGTGGACCATATCTTTCCATTCCCTTTCTTACCCACTTACTCCACTAGGCATCTGCGTTTCTATGTATAGATTTGTTCTTCAGAAATTAATCATCATTTTATATACAAACAGCTTCTTTATGCTCCATGAGGTGTACCTGTTTGATTTAGCATGTGTTAGTCGCTTTAATTTTGTTATTGCTTTGCCTCTCTTTCTCTTGGTTATTATCAGGTTATTAAAGCCTCTCTTTTTTGTTTTGTTTTTTTTTCTCCTTCTAACAATTTTTATACACAGAGTATCAATCCTTACAGATAGAAGCAGAGGCTGGGGATGTGGATCAGTTGGTAGAGTACTCTTTTGGCATGAAGGTCTAAATTCCATCTCCAACATAAAACTAAGTGTAATAGCAGGTGTGTAGGATCCCAGTATTTGAGGAGCTGAGGCAGGAGGATCATAAGTTCAAGGTCATCCTTAAGTATGTAGCTAGTTCAATGCTAGCCTGTGCTACATGAGATCTTGTCACCCACCAAAAACAACCAAAACCAAAACAAAACCACTAAACACTTGCCATTTGAAATTGGAGAGTTTCTGGGCAGTGTGATTTGTGAGAAGTGAGAGTAACCTGTGTGGTGTTGGAACACAGACTGTTGCTTTGCCCTGACCTCCGAGCCTGTGATTCCTGTTGCCTATGGCCATACTCTCCCAAACATATCTAAAGCAAAAAAAATATCATTGAGAAATCCTCTGTTAACAAAAAAGTAGCCTAAAGACTTTCAGGAGAATTCACCTGGGTATCATGTCTGCAACAGAAATGGAAGAAACTGAAGGGTCATCCCAGAATCTTTAAGCGGGGCCACCACATTCAGTGTGGAGTAGAAAATAATCTAAGAACTACATTGCAGAGGCAGCACTCTCAAAGAAATGCTTATTTTATCATTTTCTTTTATGGAACATCACGAATAAAGAGAAAGAAAGTAATTTTTAAAAATATAAACAATGAGAAACGTTTACTTTGTTCAGGTCATTTTGATTGGTTGGATTTGGTGCTTAATCCCAGGGTTAAGCATAGCTTAGAGCTACTTGTGTGGTTTTAATGAAAATTGTTCATAATTTTATTTCTTCTTTCCTATTTGTGCTCCTTCTGTGCACTCGGAATTTCAAGATGAGTAACTTTGTTGAGACTCAGAAAGACAGCTGTATGTCCTAACTGTTACTTTTGTACCATTCACAAAGGCCATGTATTGCTAACTGCTGAGTTCAAAGATCAGAATGATCTTTTATTCCAAATGTTAAAGACTCACTACATGTTTCTAACTGAAGCAGAGAGATCAGAGTAGAGCCAAGTTATTTGTCAAACAATGTATAAGAACTAATGTCTATTTTAATATAGCTGTTCCATTTTCATGACAGTTTAATGCTTCAGTTCACCTAAATATTATTTCACATTTTTCTAAATGGAGACTCCTTCAGCTTAATAATGGCATGCCATGTATACATATATATTTTTTAATCTAGTGGGGAAAATCTTGATGTCTTCTTAAACAGGAATCTCATATGCATCTCAGAGACATTATGACATATGTGGAAGTTGTTCTTAAGACTTATGGCTGTTTTTTCCTTCCTCAGCATGTGACAATGTAGTAATAGTGAATAAAACCTATGGCATCTTGGAGAGCATAAATCATCCAAATCCCTATGACCTTAATCAGCGTTGTAACTGGACCATCCAAGCAACAACAGGCAACACTGTGAACTACACATTTCTGGAATTTGATGTAGAAGAGCATGTAAACTGCTCCCTGGATTATTTAGAGGTAAGTGTTCTGAAGCTCAATAAATAATTCTATCTTCATATCAAGCAAAAAAAAAAAACCAATGCTACCAGCGTTATATGAATGCGTGTGTTTCATGTCTCCCTTTGCACCATGTTAACCTTAATCTAAAATTATTACCTTGTTTGATCTCTATACATAAGAGAAGATGCTTGACCATGTTTAGTATCTGATTTTCCTGGTACTAAGTATTATTTTTATTTTTAAGTTCACTCAAGTCAATATTCCATTTGCAAAATAGACATTTTATTCATTATGAAAATAACCTTCTGTAATATTAATTCAAATTTCTTTGTGCAATCTTATGCAGTAAAAGTTGCTTTAGTATTATATGTAGACTATGAGGCAATGTAGAATATGAGGTAATCTGCTATTTTTATCATGGGAAATTTCATTTAAGAAAGTTGTTATGGCTTGTATATGGAACCTTTAAAAATTATTCTGTTTATTTTAGTATTAATATCCACACGTGTGAATATTAACTTAGATCCTGGTTTATACTCTCATGTGTCATGCGACCATTTCATTTAAACTATTGGCATATATTCGACATCTATTTTCTACGGTTAATAACATCACTTGTTGAGTCAGCTGACACATTACTTTCACTTACTTCTTTGCTGTTAGCATATGACACACTGCTGTGTCCACATCTGTTGCTTTCACTGGAAATCTTTTCTGAAGTGAAGGGGACCCACTCTGACTATATGGGCCATTTTTCCCAAGATTTCCACCAACTATATGACTATGACTTAGTGTAGTTTTTAAAGGTTACTAGAGCAAGGATGTAGCTAGTGGCAGAGTGCTTGCCTGGAATGTGCAAAGTCCCAGGTTCAATACTTGTTGCAAATATACATGATTTGTAATGTTTAGAAGTCTCCCCTGCAAAGATTTACCTAGCCAGCACTTGCAAGTTGAGGCCATATTCCCAGGTGAACAAACCTTGCAAACTTACCTAACTCTCTTTTACTAATGTGATTATACTGTTGTTTGAGATCACCATGCCTTTTCCAAGTACTTCATTAGCTTTAAAAACAAAGAAGTAAGAATATTCTTTTGAGAGACTTTTGCTTGGAGTCAAGAACATAAGGAGATTCCTTTGTTTTGGGGAAAGTTCTTAGGATTAACAAAAACAACAAAATCAAACAAAAGTTTACCCAGGTGTGGTGATTCATATCTGTAATCTAAGCACTTGGGAGGCTGGGGAAGGAGGATTGTCAACCTGAGGCCATCCTGAAACATAATAATAAGATTCTGTCACAGTAAAAAAGAGAACAATCAAGCAAACATAAAACACTTTTCATATGTAGAGAAAAAAGTGTGTAGAAATAGTATTCACACATCATAAAGCTATATATATACTAACTTCCTTAAGGAAAAATGATGCATTACACAGCAAATTTACAGGCATGAAGTTCTAATGGCATTTGTTGTTGTTTGGCTTTAGGTTTCAGAACAAGGTCTCCTACTGTAGGTCAGGTTAGCCAAGGTCGGTCTTGAGAGCCTATTTCTCTGTCTCCACTATTGAAATGTGGGGATTGTAGGTACAAATCATGACTAGCTTGTTAACAGTTTTAAGGTCCACTTAACTTCCCCTCAAGTTAGATGCCTCCAGGAGCTCAGGAGCTACCTTGTTTCTATTACATAACTGAAGTATTCGTTTCTCCACATATTAGATTTTATTCACGATTTAAATCGCAAGTTTTACCAGTTAGAACTCTCATCCTATCCTGAACTTGTAATTTCTTCAAGTTCTTCAACTTTGACTAAGTCCTTACCTTACAATGAGACTTTGTACAGATTTATGAAACTGAGATTAAATTGTCACAGCCATATTTCAGCTGTAGTTCGATGATAGTAATTAATGAGAAAGAGCTGAATTCCACACTAATCATTTTGTAAATTCCTACACATTCAGTCCAGTCCTACAGCTTTGGGCACCATGGTTGGTGCCCAATGCAATGGAAGTCGAATGTTGGGTGTGTAACAGACACCATGCTAAGTGGGCACCATGGCTGTAATCTGAGATGGTACAGTGCAGAGAGCTAAAGAGAAGAGGAAGGGAATGGACAGACCTTTATTTGGGAGGAAGAGTAGGGAGGAAATGAAATGAACATTCCCAGGAACTATGCCCACTTCTTTGGACAAGCCTGCGGATACAATGGTAACAAAAAAATCTCATCAGGTCATTTTTAGAGGTGCTTGAAAACTAGAATAAGAATACTTGTTCCAACAGCTACAAAACAACTCATTAGAAGCCCCTTGTGATGGTGGGCCTGTCACGTTCCAGGCCCGTCATTTCTCTTGTGCAACATTGATGGTGAAAGTGCAGAAAGACAGAATGAGAAACAAAAGTTCAGAAAAGCCTTCCAAAGAATGACACTATTGCCAGAGGGAAGAGAATCTTTTCCATTGCTATAAGCCAAGGGGCAAGACCAGAGTCATAGCTGCAGAGGCTGATCTGTGGCGGAAAATTTAAGAACCCAACCATTTAAGGAGAAAAAAAGCCACAAGCAGAAAATTCTAGCTTGCATTATTTTAATAACTTCTAGTTAAAAGTTTTTTTCCCCTTCAAGTGACTTAGCCAATTCCCCCAATGAGTGACAATTACTGGGCCCAGAAATCAATTATTTTGAAGTAATAAAACTGAAACTATAAAAAGACTGGATTAGATCCAGCCCAAACCTCACTGGGAAAGGAACCTACCTTTTATTATTTTATCCTCTGGCCAAAACAAAACACATGGCTTAGAAATGAGATCTCAGTGGGAGTACAGGGTGTTTTTTTAGGGAAGTTGGACATTGCCCATGCAGCTATATGAAGTCAGTCTCAAGGATTCAGTCTGTGTTTCATAACATGGTCTCATTTTTGTCCTGGGTCTCCATTTAGAAGACATTCCTAATAGGTGACTGAGGATACAGGGAGAAGCTGTAGATTTGGGAGAAATCAGCACACTAATGAGTAAATGCCCCTGGCAGGTGTGAAGGGTATTAGGTCAATGGGGGTAAGGGAGTCAATGTTGAGAAGAGGATGGAGGAAGGGGGTTGGTTCAGTGAAACAAAGAGGATTATGGGAGGTGTAATAGATTGTGATCAGAGTGGTCCAGGCAGGTAAGGGCTGTGACAGTTCCTTGGAGGATTAGTGTGATTGAACAGGGTTGTGTTGTGAATTAGCAGGGGGTAGATGGCCATGAGGAGACATGCTGTGCAGAAAGTGAGTGACTGGGTTCTTTGCCTCAAACCAGCATAGGAGACAAGGCCTCTTTTCTCTAACTCTCTCCTACATTTCTCTAACTGGTCCTCATGTGGCAAGCTTTCATGGGAGTCCCTCTCTACTTGTTCTTTTGCATGCCAGAGCGTCCTAAATGTGGCCCCAGAACTGGCTAGGACCCCCCACTAACCGGGACAGAGCTGCCTTCTCTGAGAGGACATTATCTGGTTAAAATGTTCCTGGTACTATAGGCAGAAGTTACATGAGGTTTATTACCACCCAAGTTATATCAAGATCTGTAATCACCCAGCTGCTTGTTAGGTCGATTGCTATAGCTGATAAGCTTCATGGCTTTTAAGTTTCATTTACCTAGGCTCATATAGTTTAAAAAAGTCCAAAAGGGCATTACTCCTAGTAAGTTATGTTTAAATATCTGGGCATTTCTTCACTTTATGATCCCCCTAAATCCACATTCACTACTCTTTAGAACATTATTTATTATCTATTACTTATGGGCTTTACAACTGTTTCAAAAATAATTGACAAAGAGTTGGAAGAATGAGGAGGTGGGAAGGGTATAGGAGGAAATGAGGGAAGGGAAATAATCAGAATATATTGTATGAAAAGAAATTATTTTCAATTAAAAATAATTGATAAAAATGTCACACAGGGTGGCACCTGTTTCAAATACTCTCATACACTGGTTTTAGTTTAAATGGATATATTGTTGAAAATTTGGGGGCTATCACTATTTAAATAAAACCCAGATTATTATAATAGCTACTATTTACTAAGCATGTATTATAGCTGGATAACACAGGAAATGTTCTCATTTTACAAATAAGAAGAGTTATATAGGTGTGAGTTTCCCATAGTAACTAAGTAATAAGAGGCAGGTGTGCTGAACACCAGGCACTGTGCCTTGGGCCAGTGCCGTTGACTGCAACACTTCTTCACAAATCATATATACTCTTTCCTAACTTTCCGTTACCTTCACAGAAATCATGAGAAAATAAATGCCCATGATCTACTCACATCTACTGTTCTGACACTGTTACCAAGAGGGATGGATGCTGTTTTCCCATGTCTTTCACAGAAATGGTCTTTTATTTTGATAATCATAATTTATTTGTATATGCTAAAATTACTTCAGTGTCTAATTCAGGGTATCAGCTGAAGTCCCTGTCAATCTTACTCATTTGTGAGATGTCAGAACAAAACTGTCCTATGTTTTGCAAACTGAAGGACATTTCCTATAGAACTTGGGCAGTTCTTCTAGCATTTGCTTTCGGCATCATAGTCACGACAGATGCATCTCACAGTAAGGCAAGCGAAAGGATTAGTAATGTTTGCTGTGGGATCGCAGATGTGAGGGGCATAACCCACAGAAGAGAGCCCAAGAGTCCAGGAAAGCCTGAAAGTGAACTCTCCATCGTCTTTCCTTTCCTTTTGTGAAGCTCTGTTGGGCTCCATGGCTGTTCCCATCTAAAACTGCAGTTTCTACATCCTTTTCCTTGCAGCTTCAACAGGAACACTGAAGTCATGACTGTGCAGTGTACTAACCTCAAGCACTTCCCATCAGTGGCTCAGCATTTAACACTTAGCAACAAAGGTGTGGGTCCAGCTTGCATACTCATGGGCAACTCTTGAGGTGGTGTGAGCAGCCCTCCTCACATGTGATATCTGTAAGCAATGGCAAACATTCTGAGCAGGGTCATGATTCTGCTGTCACTCTAAGATATTTGACAACAACCAAGAATTCACCATGATGA